AATAAGAAGTGGACAATACAGTATTTGCTTCATTGTGTGGGGGAAAAAACCTTTGTTAAATGTATGGATGCAGACGCCTTGATGAAGATCTTAATTTTGTTTGGTTAAAAAAATAGTGTTTTTGAAAATGTACAAAATATCTATCACTACTGATAGGAGGTAATATTTCTGTGTAGAAATGAAAAATGGTTTGTTTTTAGTATTAGTGTAGATGTACACATTCCAGCAAATGTATTTGCAATTACGTGGTCAATGCTTTGTGATATAAATGTACTTTTTCAATGTATACTTTATCACTTTTAAAATGCCTGTTTTGTGCTTTACAATAAATAATATGAAACCTCCTGTGTCGGTAAGTTGGATATGTGGGTATATAAAGAACTATAGGATTGATTTGCAACGATGAATCAAGGTACCTGTACATGAATGAGATTTTATTTTTTCCCCCCACCCATGAAACCTGGTTGAGTTTAAAAACTTGTTGTTAGCATGTTTTTCCCCTCTTGCAGAATAGTTGTAGATGGAGGATCTCTTTCATTCATTGTATTTTGCTGCCTAGCACCAGTAATCTGATACCTTAATTTTCTTTCTATTTGATTAAAACTGCATGTGTTTAAGAAGGTGATCTTTTGGCATACTTCCATTGCATTAACAGTGAAATTTCCTTTTATACATGACCACTGTTTCAGACCTGTGCAGCTGTTGTAACAGATAACTTTTGTTCTCAATTGAATACTTCCTGCATATAACTATTTTATGGATTTTTTCAGACTAGTTATAACTTCTATTTTAAGTGTAATGTACTTAAGCCTTCAGTTTAAAGTAGTCCAAAGTTCAGTGTAGAAAACTCAGTGTGGTATGCATAGTGGTTACAAAAATTGCATCTGTCCTTAAAACGCTGTTTTGTTTGAGTGGTGGGGAGTGGTTGAGAACTTCCTGCAGAGCAGATAACTTTGTTTTTGTAAATACTCTCAAGTATTTGAATCAATTGGTTATTTTTCTTATATATACTTGCAACTTCTTATTGCTCTAATGCTCATACTAAAAAATTTGATTCTCTTGAAATCCTGTGTTTGCTCTTTGCATATTTATTGGCTCTTTGCATATATTAGACTACATGCAATACAGTCTGTCTTGCCATTGTCTGTTGAAGTGCAGGTTTGATCCAGCCAGTATAGAACTAGCTCTATAGGGGTGAGGAGGACTGTGCTGTGTATCATCCTTGATTGTTCCTTCAAGGAGCATTGCACTGTAAGTACATCAGAATGACAAATTGATGAACTGCAACAGTATCTTTTTGTCAATGTTCCACATAATGAAAATGCCATACTTGTGTGACTATTATGTTGGAATACAGTGCTAATATCGTAGGAAATCATAATTGCTTCTTAATTCAGAAACATAGGTTTGCGTGTATATATATACATACACATAATATGAGCTTTATGGGTAAGTATTCCTGAAACGTTTAGCAATAGCTAAAGAAAATCATGTTTCTGTTTATGTGAGTAATAGTGTTTTTTTCAATAGTACTCCTGAGACAGCTGTATCTTTCAGTGTTTTAAAGTATGCATATCATAACATTGAAGTCTTTGGAACCACTTGTTAGACAGAAGTTGTCTTTGTCTTCAGATAGTTTGCAGATATGTAGCGATGTAGGTATGTTTTAAATAATTCTGTAACTGTTACTTGCTTTATCTTTTGGAACACCGTATTGTTGCTTTGAGAATAAATTTTTTTAGGGTGGCTGCACAGAGAAGTAAAAGTTAAGGCTTGAAAATTGAAGTAGTTTATTCAGGTAATTAGCAATGTATGTATTGTGCTGTAGAAATAGAAGGAATTATTTTTATCCCTTTAGGAATTATTCTGGTAGCTTTAAAAAGGCTAGGACAGTATTTGCTATCTTTAGAGTAGGGTATGAAGTTTAGTTCAGCTATTTTGCATGGTATTTTGTAGATAACCTTATAGAATGGTGCATTTGTTATGTACTAAACTGAGCAAAATTAAATTCACTGGATTCTTTATCATTCACAAAATGGAGGCTGTTGATTTTGATTCATTTAAGGTATAAAATCTTTATTAATTGCAAACAGTGCAATTATTTATACTTCACAGTGCCTTCCCAGACCTTCCACCTTAGGTTCTGCTGCAAAAAAGCAACAGGTAAGCACAACCTAAGGAAGTATATAAATTAATATATTTCAGTACATTAATGTTGTCCCTGTGAGATCTTTGTGGTTGTGTATTGAAAAGCAATCTGCTGCTTCCCCAAATGCATTGTTACTCACGGTTCCATTTCAGTGGAAAGTCTTTTTTAAACAACTGTTTATATTTCTAGGTAAATATGTATATCTCTTTTTTCTTTTTTTCTTTTTTTCTTTTTTTTTTTTTTTTTTTTAAGAAAAGACAAGTAGATTGCAGTAATTAAACCTGATCAGAATAAGTAATTTTTGTTATTTTTCCTCAAATAGCTAATTGTTGCAATTAAAGAATCAAAACCTTTAAAATATGCAGGAATCACTTTGGTTAGAAACGTCAACAGCCTTCACAAATGTTTTTTATAATAGGGCACTATTCCCACTCAAACCCATAAGACCTAAATATAAAGAATATAATTCATGTTGTTATCACTGAACTTGATAACTTGTCTTACAGTTATAGTGTGTTAGTGCAATTTTTAGATAACTTAGTTTGCTTTTCATACTTGACATGGTAGGAAAACAGATTCCGGAGTTTCAGAGATTAGTATGTTTTAACTGAAAAAGCATGTGCACCAACTAAATGTTAACAGTACAGCAGATAATATTTTATATAGCAGTCAGTGTATCCTGTTTCTTGATACTTTAACTGAATTGCTGTATATTTTGATAGTTTAAAATGTTTGTATGTCTTATAGATGGTCTGGTACAGGTTTTTGTTTCTGGTTTTTGTTGGTTTTGTTTTTTTTAGCTTAAAGTAAAGCAGCATCTATTTGGTTTTTGTTGATTATTTTGTTTCTAAAATGTGCTGCTCCTCTTTCAAAAGTCCTGCTTATCTGTACATCAAAGGAAAATATTCAAAAATACTGCCTTCATTTTCACACACAGTGCTGAAGATGCTGCAAGCACCAAATCATAGCTCATAGAATCAGGTCCTGAGATAGTTACTACCAGTAAAGAGGAATCCTTTGAGTGTATGCCATTGGTGAGCCGATGAGCATGGACCATAGAAGGGCTCCATGTAGAAGGTAAAATTGGCAAAAACATAACAGATTTGAAATGTATACCATACATGATGGTGTAGGGTATAATTTTTGTTCTGATCACTTTTCATTCTTTAAAGTATTATGTTTGACCATAAATGTTCCATAATCTGTTAAGTTTTTTAAACTGTGATTTAATAATATAAACCATCTATTTTAATTTGTATTCTTCTAAACAGCCAAGCTTAGATATATTGAATTTTTGAACTAAAGTAATAGCTGTGATTCAGTTTCTCAAGCCACTTAATATTTTATATGTAGTTTAATATGTAACTTCATTTTTGACGTGAGAAAAGGTTAGGTGCGTACCATTTGGATTTTGATACTGTGAACTTAGTGTTGGGGTGAGTCATTTGTTCACTTCCTTTTACATTGATACCTTTTTCTTCAACTGTTGTTCCTACAATATCTTGAACAATCTTTCAACTGGAAATATAGCCAGAGGGAGGAGATAGAGAAGAAAAAGCCAGTTTATTGGAATGTTGATGGTGTGTGGAAGATGAGATGTTCTTGTGTGTAGCATTTGAGGTGTACTGACATCCAGCTTTCTCACTGCTGGGCTTACAGACATGCTATTTTGTGCTAAGCATAGTGTTTATTTTTTCAGCTCTGTCTCTAAACTCAGTTTTTAGGAGAACAGCAAATAGATTATTGGTGTTATCTTGATCCAAAAAGATAACTGGACTTCCTTAGAAATGTAATGAACTTGCCCAAAAGGTGTCTTTAAATGTTTCCTGCTTCCCCCTTCCCCTTAGTGTCCCACAAATTAAGGAGAATGTGAAGAGTACATGACGTTTAAAAATGGAACATAATGTTCAGAGTAGAAAAAGCATTTTCGTGTCACTTTCTGCAGCCTGTACTTTAATAGGACATGAAAAAAGTGTCAGGTGGATAATCTTCAATCTAGCATGATCATAAGTCATCTATTTCAGTTGTCCAGGCAGATGGGATCATTACTCACTTGCACAGCCTATCTTAAAATATTTCATCTTTTTACTAGTGGTATTTTATTGGGTGATAGGAACTGTTTCTCCCCAGTTCTCTTGGAAAGTAATTTTTGAGTTTTCCATTGCATGCTAAAAGCTTTATATTTTGCTTTTTTTTCTGGAAGTGGGGGGAGGAAGGGAAGACTGGGCTTTTCAGAAAAGCATACAGTTGACAGGATTCCCTCTTCCCTAGTAATAGCTTATAAAATTCTTATGTATGCACAAATATTTCTCTTGCGTGCATGTGAAATGCCTTTTCGTCCTGAGAAAAGTGTTCTCTGCAGAAACTACCCGTGTGTAAAAAGAAGATTGGCTTTAAAAGGCAACTGTGATGGGAACAGTGTCTTAGGGAGATGCAGCTTGGACTTGAGGTAAATTGAATGCTTTACAAAAATGTGGTTTTGAGCTTGCATTGACATTGTATGTAATATGGGTACACGTTAACTGTATAATGTTTTTTGTATGTTTTTTTCTCAATAAATGTAAATCGATGGATAATAATAGCAATGTTTTTGTCTTTTTTATGCTCCTACCCCTGCCTTTGTTAGTTTGAAATAACAGCTTCAGAAGAAAGATATTGCAGCAACTAGTACTTCTGTGAATGAACATCACCCACATGAAGTAAAATATATTTATGTGGCTATTTAGAATAAATATTTATTCAAAACATGCAGCTTACTACCATTTTTTCCAAGATGCGTCTGAATTTGTCACTTTTATTGAGGCAAAAGAGTGACTTCCAATAGGCAACTCTACAAAGAGCAGTCAGCAGATTCAACCACAGGAAAATTTATTTCAGAAATGACTGCATAAACCTGAATTGCAGCCTACCTTGCCATTATGTTAAGGCTTATACACATGTTCTTCAATTTAAAATGTGACTATTGTTTGTAAAATTACTCCCTACAGAAGCTTAAGCCGAACAGTTCAGATAGTGTTAGCACAATGACATTAGTGTTGATATCAAGAGATCTTAAGAGAAAAATAGTACAGTAGCCTTAAGAAGACAATGTTCAGAGATGCACCAATAAGTCTGTTACATTAAGAGAGAACAGAAATTGAGAAGTCAGGCACTTTCTGAAAATATTTTTCTTAACGCTTGCTTCCTATCATCTTGGCTATGATAGGCTTGTATTTTGTCACCAACTGTTCCTGCATTACTTAAGCAGTGAAAAAAATAGAAGTTTTACAAGCAAATGTTGGTACTATAAAGACTACTACAAGACTTAATGAGATAGTTTTTACTTTTGTGTTATCAGCAGCATAGATTGATAAGAGCATAACAGTTTAAATGCAAGCCCATTTTAAAACAAAAGAATTAATGCTCTTTGAAACAAAACAACAAAAGTGAGCTGTTATATAATATTTTATTCTTTAAAAATAGTACACTGGGGGTTCTAAAAATCAATAAGTATTTCCTTTTGCCAGCTCAATGCCTCTGAGATAAAGTAAAACAGCTTAAATATTCAGTGTTCATGCAAAATATACCAATAGATATAAACTACTACACAGGTTTCCAGATTGTGTATTTAGCTTTATACTGCTACACAACAGTTGGTCTTCAAATGTGGGCGTGCTATTATAATTCAACTTTTTTTTCCCTTTAGTTGATCTTCCGTACATTGATTTCTTATTTTTAGCCTTTAATACCAATTTTTGTATTGAGGAAGGAACGAGGACACACTCACAATTTGAAGGTTATTCTTATCTGATGTAGGAATGAGAAATCAATGCATATCCTCACTTTCTTTAGTTGGCCCCATCAGAGAAAGAGATGATGCAATAAGAAAGTTTTGAGGGGAAGAAAGATTCCAGCTAAAGTAGAGCATTAGTAGTCATCAGCTAGAAAATAAAAGGGTTAGGAGAAAGAGCTGATCAGATTTTCATAATAGGAAAGATGCAAGAAGAGTATTTGAGAATTAAGCAAATTAAAATGCTAACTCTTACTTTCAATGGTGAGAATACAGGTGCTAGCAGATGTGCCTCTGTTGTTGACTGCTTTACACATATATTCCCCTTCATCTTCTGGGAAGGTTTCTGGCAAGTAAAGGCAGTAGGTTTCTCCTCTTTCAATATACTGATAGTCCTCAGAGTCCTGCAACATTTCCCCCTCAAACCACCATGTAACTTCAGGTTTTGGTTCTCCAGTAATTTTAACTGTAAATCTCACTGGCTCGCCATCAACAACTGATGTGTTTTTCAGTGACTTTTTGAACCAGGGAGCTCCAGATCGAGCTTGATCATCCTCATCGTCACAAGTAGAACCATTGATAATGCTTCCTTCTTCTTCTTCTTCCTCTTCTCTTTTCTGTTTTAAAATAAGTCCATTTAGAACGTTTCAAGTGGCAATAGCAGCATGACTGCTAGTACTACCTATTCAATTCAACAGAAAAGTTACCATGTTTCTGAGAAGGGGAACTATCCCACCTATCCTCACTAGGTAACAAAGCAATGATTCTGGACAGGGAACAGGCAGTGAAATGGATTTTAATGAGGCCAGAATCTTAGGGTAAAATAAGGCATGAATGTAGATTCCATTTTCAGACTATTCAAAGGATACAATGAACTTTGCGGTATCTCTCATACTCTTCAAGAATATGTGAAAACACCAAAAGCAATTTTACATTATTGCAGCAATTCACAGCAGCTGTTGAAACAAGTATCATGTTCATTTTATACCTCTGGCAGCGTTGCCATCAGCTGTAATCAGATGCTAAGTTAAAGGACATTTAGGACTGAAGAAAAGGTACTTTGTAATTTATACCTTCTGTAACGCCGCATCAATTTCTTTTTGTTCAAACTGCATGCGTAGCAATTTCTGTTCTTCAATTCTTCTCTGCTCCTCTTCTTCCCTGGCTCTTGCCATTTGCTCAAAACGGGCCTTCATGTTTACTTTATGAGTAAATGGAGCCTCAGATTTCTTAGCTGGTCTCACATCTACCTCCTCATCCTTGGGGGGGGAGAAATATTAAATATAGGACTTAACTCATTTATTACCTTTTAAATGCATATGATAACAAAACTAGTTTTGTAGAGCAGTAGTTCTTAACCGAGCAAAGCCACCCAGAGTCCAGTTTTTCTCAGAAGTTTGTTTAATGTTGGGTTTAAGGTCAAGTCTCGTAATAGTTTATCCCAGGGATAGGGCAAAATACTTGCAGAAGTAATTTTGAAAAAGTTAGGCAGAAAAACACTTCTAAAAATAGATTTTCATATAGAAGTTGAATACTGTCTTGTGATGTGGCTTCCATGCCATAATGTTATGGTAGCTTCAATGCCTAACGCAGGTTGACCTTATAGAAGCATAACTACAGTGTCAGTTAAATTAAAAGCTCAAAACTAAAAGATACTGAAGTGTCTGACTACTGTGGAAAGAAACCTCAGAATGAGACTCAGATCAGGTTTCCTCGCTGGCACTGCCATGTGACTATGCTACACAAGCTCACATTGGTGTTTTGGGTCACAAAGCATAATGTTGATTTACTGGTTAGGCTGATAACTTCATTTCTTGATCTTTCCCTCTGAAATAAATGTGAGAGGTTCCAGTCTGAAGCGCATAGATAAGTAGGCATTCTTTGCTTTAGCCTCAGGAAGTAGTAAAGATGGTAAAAAGATTTGATCTTCAAATTGTATTGTTTAGTTTTGTTTTGTTTTTAATTCATACAGTAGAGAATGAATTAGACTTCAGAAAGAGAAGCAATTCATGTGATTATTAATTCTCAAATATAAATGTTTCAAACCTGCAGGCTGGCAGGTTTCAGGTGATTAAGATGCTGAACTGAGGACTTTGCACAGAAAAACAGATCTCTGCTTGACCTGATGCCTGGTAATAAACTGGTGCTGTTTCCTTTAGAGATGCTGAGGTGACACTTCCTCATGCATCCAGAGGAGGGATCAGGAAAGAAGGGAGAAAATAATCTTGGAAATACAGCAAACTGGTGAAAGCAGCAGCACTGTCCATCCCTGGATTATTAGCGTGCTAGTTAAGTGGATCATTAAGATAGACAGAGTGCAACTTACCTCTTGAAATTTTTCTGCTTCTCTTTCTCTTATTTCTTCATCCATTGCTCTTCTCTTAGCTCGCTCTTCTTCAATCTTCTTCTGTATTTCTTCTTGAGACAGTTGTCCTATTTTTTCAAACTTGCTTTTTAAGTTCTTTGCCTGAATAGAACCACTTCTTTTTAGCTTTATTAATTCTTCGTATTCTTTACTTAGCTCAAAAGTTTCGGATTCTTCTTCCAGCTGTTCAGAAATTACAGAATGTGTAAGATGGTAAATGCCCTAGCTATTTTTACTACCTATTCTTCCCACAGACAGGTGTAACTTAATACACTTCAACAGTTCTCTTAGCTATTTGAAATCAGCACAGAGACCTTTTCCCTCTAATTTCTTTTTTCCTCTCACTATTCTTAGGATTACTGCATTTGTATCGCATATAAACTAGACACAGATTTTAAAATACCATGCTTGAATGTACCCCGTGTTCAAGGATTGCTGTCAGTAAGCCATCCATCACAGACTCAGAAAACCAGACACCTAGCAATACAAAAATCTTAAGTTATCCTGGATCCATAATTTTACCTCTCTAACTTACTTACAATATGACACAAAATATTTTTTTAAAAATACATTTACATGCTAAACAGAAAATTATTCCTTTTTTGAGTTCAGTAAAAAGCAAATTAAATTTCAGGATGTCACAGCTGGAAAAGCAATGGCAGTTCTGGATCCTGTAGTCAAATCACGTCTGAAGCTGTAATTGTTGGTAACTTACTGTCTACTTTTACTACCTCTGACTGACAGTAAGGATGTATATGCATTTTTGTTGGGTGTCCCTGTCTCCCTTCTTTCCCAGGATGTAATACCAAATTTACTCGAAAAGTTAAAAGCTAGAGCCTTTATTACTTACTCCAGCTTTGCTTAACAAAAATAAATAAATTCAGTCCTCTAACAGTCAAAAGGGAATAAAGAATTGCCACCCACAGCCAAATCAAATGGCAGTGTAAAGTTCATGAACATGTTTTAAAAATTTGGTATGCAAAGCAAATTTTGTGTGTGATTTTTAAAATCGTCTGTGGCAGTCTTCAAACCCTTGATACGCTAATTAGAAATATGTTGAGGCCACTGCACTTCTTTTCTAATTAGTTAACAGAGCATTCCCTTGAGGAAAAGCAAGATTTTTGCTTTTTCCTACTTTCATTTTTGTATTTTCATTTGGGAAGTAGATGTTTTTGTTCTCCCAATATTGTAAATATTACATAGTTGTTTTAGTAACACTGTAGAATTTTCAGAAGTGACCAAAATAAAATTACAAATTTGAAATTGTGTTTTTATTTCAAGGGTGGCAAAGGATAAAAGCATTTTACATGTAGATTAGTGATTAAAACATGTATCTTATTAGATACAATGTTATGTTTTAAAAATATGGTTTTCTATTTTTCATTCTCTTCACATAATAAAGTACTGATTTAAAATTCCTTTTAAAGGAATTTTCAGTTACACTCTTGAACTTTGAGATTTTAGTAATTAACTGAAATCACCTATTGTATTTTTATTCAGAGCATGCTTAACATGGCCTTTGATATACAAACCTCTCCCATTTCTTGTCTTAGCTGTTGAAATTCTTGCTTTTCCATTTCCAACTTTTGCCTACGCTCTTCTTCTGTGCGTCTCTTTTCTTCTTCCATTTTTTGTCTCAGCAACTCCTCAAAATTAATTTCCAGTTTACCAGGTATGAGGGATTCTTGAGAAACTGTTTTAAACATTTCTGGTGATTCATCATCCAGCACCTGCTGGAAATTCAGAGCATTAATGATACATCCCGAAGGTACCTGTGATGAAATCACAGTGTTGTTCACACATTTTTAGTATGTAAAGATAATCAAGTATTTTGCCACATCTGCCACAGTACAGTAAGATGCAATGTGACATGTGGGTATTCCTCTTAATATTTGAGGAGGGAAAGTGTTTGGAGGGTTTTGTATTTGACTTTAGCTCTTTATTCTTGCAATGCTAAACTTCTAGAATGAAGGTGTTTATTACATGTGTTCTTTTTTGCAAGATGATGGAGAGGATGTCCTTGAAATGCAGTTTTGGGACCTGAAACAATTAATTCCTGTTTATTTCACAGACTGTCATTAGACAAAGTGTTTGTGTTTAAATGTCATTGCTTTTAACACTGAAGTACACGTATCTGTTATCTTTTTCAAAACAAACTGAATTACATTCCTGTTCCTAAGTAGTATTAGTATTCCTAGTAAGGATAACTGAACAGAATATTCTACAAGAAACTCTTCTTGTGCATAAATTGGTTATATGAGGTTATGTTGCCAGCGCATTGCTTTGTGCAACCCAACAGCAAGGGTTTCTCCCTTTCCCAGTCTTCACAGCAGGGTTGGGCTTTGACGGTCATTCAGGAGCAGTTTGCTTATTTTGTAGACTAATTCGTAAGAAGATGGTAGGGCCTAGGAAAGGCAGTCTTCATTACTTCCAAAAGCAGGAAGTGCAAGAATGAATATTTTGTCAGACTGCATTTGTTGAAGCAAAGCATTACTAAAATGGCCAGTTAGCATGACAGTCTGAGTTAGCAGGAAGATTTTAAAATAACTTCTTGATAAAGCTTATATAAATGTATGCTTGTGCACGTAACTGTGTAAACTTATTAAGAGGGGTTCTCTCAACAGGAATGTTCTGTAGATAAAGGTGTGAGATGAGGTCAGATACTGATCTAGAACGGTGTGGTGATGTGGCTTTTGGCGCTGTTCAACTGGCGCATGTTTGAAAAGCCTTGTGGCAAACATTAAACACCCCAGTGTGCCTTAGATTTTGTAGGCATTCCCAAGGTGTAATAATTGGTCAAATGCTAGAAGCAATTAAAGGAGCAAAACTTTCATCTGAGAAAGTGTTTTGACTAGCTTTACAAGGAAACAGAAAATAAGCCTTTTTTTTTTTAAAGATTCTTTGGCACTCCTATTTATTACTACTTACTGCCATTACCTTTCACTCCTGTTTGTGCTGTCTTAGTTCATACCACTGTCTTGACCTACTTTGCCCATATCCTTTTTATTTGTCACTGCTCTTTCAATAGGTTTTTTTTGCCCAATCCCACCCAAATACTGCTATTCACTGTAGATGTCCTTCAGATTTTCCCTCTCAGTAAGCTTACAGTTGGACTTCAGCCCCACCATTCCTTCCATTCTTCATTCGTTTTACATGAGTGTATTTGTTGAAATTGTGTTATGGAGAAGTGGAGTCAGAAAACAAAACTGTAAACTATTTCCTTTAATGAAAACAATGCATAGCCACATAGTTTTCAGAGGCTAGCCACAGCTAATTTAGCTAAGGAATGTGAAAGTCTCTTGCTTTTGATGCATTAGTTCATATGCTCATCACTTCAAGAGGATAGAGAACCTAAGTGAATAGGAGAAGCATTAATTCAAAATTTACCAACGCATCTATAAACTTTAAAAAGCTGCGCACGTGAGCAAACACTAGCAGCTGTCTGCTCTGAATTTTTGAATGGGTAAGTTAAGAAAAGACAGTAAGCCAACTTCTTCCTGCTTAAAAAGCACAGGAAAAAAATTCAGCTGAATTGTGTGATGCACAAAACCCTTTTGGTTAGCTCAGTAAGTATTTTAGCTGTATTTTGTGAAGTGAGACCATACTTTTTTTTTTTTTTTTTTCCCTGCAGAGTGGGAACAGACAGTAGTGAGAAACAGTCCTGGAACAACCATAGTTTGCAGCAGAGTCAACCAGGTTTCAGAGGGCAGTGACTGACACAAAGTAGAAGGCTTTTTTGTTTGTGTTAAGACAGGTTCCTTATGCAGTCACTAATGGGAGGAGACTGACAGGGATGGAAGATGAATGCTTCAGTCTGAAAGTGATCACACTGATGGTGGGAAGCACGGAAGTGTAGATGCAGCATAAGTAAATGTGAAATAGGGAGATCCTTCCAAAAGGAGGTGGCATTTTTGTTTTCCAGCACTGATGTTACTACTGTGTGTGTATGCTTTCAAAACTAAATTAAAATGAATAAGTATGAAAAAGGTTCTAAAATAACTACTTAATTTAAATGCTTAAATAAAAATTAAACATGAGGTTTTACTACTGAGAGGACTGATGTGTTCTTAAAATCTTTAAAAGCACATCTGCATTGCTGCTACATTGTGTAGCTGCAGAAAATAGGGAAAGCATGGGCTTATTTTCTGTTATAAGTAATCAAAAATGTGCTCATACTCAGTATGTTAATTAACAGGAAACTTTCAAACATGTATATACTGAAAATATGTTTGCAGTTAATTTTTTAAATTACTGACCATCTTCACTCTCAGTGGTTACGTGCAATCACAGACTCTGTGCTACATCTAATGGATTAAACCCTGTTTAATCAGTGAGATTTTTTCTTGCCTGGACACTTAAGCTTAGGTTCTTGCTACACTGAGGCAGAAAAATGAGATTCTAAGGAAAGCAGAAGAAAGCAGAAGACAGCTCGTACTTTCTTTGCTTTCCTTTAGTTGTCTCCTGGTTTTTCATAAAAATTGTAAATGGCAGAAGTCGAGTAGTGCTCGTGGCAGGGGGTTGGTTTTGTTTTGTTTTGTTTTTCTCCTGGTGGCTTTAGCTTCTATTTTCTCTCTTTGTATGGACAGACATGGAAGGTAGAGACAGATGCTGTTTTCCATAATTGCTTACCAGTTACAATATCAAATAGAAATTTACATTGTCGTTTCTGTATGTAGGCTTTCAGCAGAGGTCTTGTCTTTGGCCCAATTTTCAGGCAGAGGGAGCACTGCTAGCAGTATTAGTAGTGATACAGAGTTTTAACTTGTCTCACAAGCATTGCTTTAAATGATAAGTAACATTTTATTAGGCATGCAGTTGGTCTTTCTCAATAAAACCGCAGAGGGGAATGTAGGAAAACACTGCCAGATGAGTGGGTTATTCCACAGTTCTGTATTGCATTCTTGCTCCTCCTTTTGAAACAAACAATACTTAGTTTTTGTTGGTATTTCTGTAATTTAATACAGTATTTGCTAATACCCACCATTAAGTAACTGGCTTATACCCAAAAGCCTACTGAAACTTGAAGTTGTTGGAATGAGCATGAAGAATACAGTGAGGAGTTCCATGCTAGTTATTCTTTATAAATTATTGTTGCCACTCTCTGAAAGCAGAGAAATATGCCTGATTTCAGGTAGTGTCATAATGTCAGTCCTAGGTCCCTGAAAATTTATCTTAAGTTTTAGAAGTCTTTGCATAACAGAGATCTGTAATTGTCTAAGGAAGTTCCATATTATAATTTTTTCTAATGGTAAATGCCACAAGTTACTTTCCTGTTTCTCTGAACAAGCAATGAAATACAATAAAAACATCAATTGGCTGAGTGCAGCCTTCTTAATTTTTCCTTCCTAAAGGACCACAGATGACTATAAAATTTTGTACTTGCAGTGAGCATTTTCCTGTATGCCATTAATTATGCTTTAGCTAGTAGGAGCTGATTGGTGGACAAGGCTGTAAAGGTAGGAAGATAAACTTGGAGAAGTAAAAGGAATTGCTCTTCCCCCAAAAAACCCAACAAAACCTCCTTGTGAAAACATTTTGCTTTCCAAGTTTGTTGCATCTAGCATAATAGTATCCACTGGACACAATATCTGGTTTTGACTAAATTTTGAAGTCCTTTCTAGGCTTGCTGTGAGGAGGGGTTGTTCTGTGATGATTTTTAAATGAACTTGATTAGTTTTACCTCACTACCTTCTAATCAGTAGTGAGGTGAACTAATTAATGAAGGAATTGCTTGTATTCCTAACTGTATTTAAAGCTTTTTCCCAGAAGTGCTTTCCAGTTCATTTGACATTTAGGTAAAAATTAAACTATATACCAAACAAATGCCATACCATGTTCTTCCTTGCTTCAGCAAATGCTCTTTTCTCCTCTTCTATGCGTCGTCTTGCATCTTCTTCTGCTTTCCTCTTTTCCTCTTCTCTTCTCTGTCTTTCTATCTCCTCAAAACTGAGTCTGAGTTTACCAGGACGGAATTCTTTAACAGAATTTTCAGATTCTTCATCGCCACCTTCATTTATCTTCACAGAAGGAGGAGAGGGAAAAACAGAAAGAACTTAGCTAAACATATTCTTTATAGTAAATAAACACTCTGTTAATTCCTTCCTGATCTTTTATTATTATTATATATCAAGAGTTTGATTCCTGTAAGAAACATTTTAATCTTGGTTTTAGCCAGGGAGGGATAAAAGAAACTTACTTCAGTATCCTATATATAGCTTCTCTAATTTTTAAAAATCTGCTGGGTGTGTAATTCAAAGAACAATATGTTATCAGGAAACAGCTGAACAATTAAGTACATATTTTATGGTCTCAGGGTTGGATCATTTACTGTAAATCACTCCCTATTCACTTTTGTTACATCACTTTCATAGACCTTTATCCCATCAAGTTTTTTTGTTTGCATGTAAGTTGTTTTCACCAATGCACTTACCAGTTAAAAAATGCTGTACTTTCATAGCAAAACTAAATCAATTAACATTTTGCTATTACTCCAGACTGAGATTCTTGTTTCTTTTCTTTTTAGACATTTAATCATCACTGAAAAAGGGAATTGAGATACTCTGACCTCTTCACTATTGTCTCCAGTGAACAGTTATCTGATAAGAGAAGCCTGTGGTTTGTAAACTGCAATCAAGAACAAAAGAACAAACCATCTTCAGAAGACATCTCAGAGTACTTTATTTGTTAATGGAGGAAATGGACTGGGAAGTGTCAGAGTATGGATAATCCAGATTTCTGTATCCTGCAAGCAGCCCTGGGGCTGGTATGTGGGGTAGCCAGTTCAGGGAATTACAGGAATCCTTTCTTTGCAATTCATAGGGAAAAAATAAAGATTTAAAGGAAATTAACTGCTGAACTCTTCCTTTGAGAAAACTTTTGACTTCAAATTTTGATAACCACTGATAACAGATAAAACTGCGTGTTAGAAAATTTCTTTTGAGGTAGAGAATTTGTAAACTATTTTATATTACTTGGTTAATAAATGCATATACATAAGGGTGGCAGACGTGAACAAAACTTCAGTTAGTGGCTGGTGGCTCCGTGAAGTTCTCTCTCCTTCATTTTCTTCACTCTTCTCCTCCTCTAATATCCCCTGCCCAACCCCAAATAAAAAGAAAAATATGTATTATTGACATAATGTCAAGGCTATTGGTGTGGGAAGGTTAAGTGATATATTAGAGGTGGGGGTATAGGAGTAAACTACAATTTGCGTATCTGCCCAAACCTAGAACCTTCTCAGTTTGGGCCAGATGGGAATCTCAGAGTTTCAGCTTCCCGGAGGTTCTGTGGTAGTGTTTTTTTTCCCTGGAGAATAGAAATTTCTTAAATGTTTTTGAAATACAGTTAATATAGTGATCTTGAGCTGTTTGTCCAAGTTTGTTCATTCATAATTTTATTCTGTTTAAGTTAGCAAATTTCTAGAAATATTATTTTCAAAGATTTCATGGAAGATTGAAATCTCATTTATCATGAGTCTTCTTTGTATGTGAATTAACAAAACCATAATGATCATGATTGTCCAGGAGAAAGATATTTAAATGCAGAACTTTAAAAATGCTTTTGGAAATGGAATATGGTAAAGTGAGGAAATATAGAACTAAACTATCTGGTATATCTTCTGTTAATATTAAGTGTATGATTCCTTTAGTATGATCAAAGAACAAACTGTAGGTGAAGTCTGTTTATAGTTGATCTAAAATAAGTCTGGCTTATGAAAAAGAACACATGAAGGCAGTTTTGCAAGTAATATAAAATAGGAATGGTGAGCTACATTTCTGACGATTCAGGGCTTAGTGTAGTAATTTCTAGTATATTGTTATTTATGTCAATACATACAAGAGAGCTGACCTCTCCTTTTTCCCTTTCTTCATATGAAGACAGTTGTAATTGATGTATTTATATATCATATTTATAAATAAATATGGGAATAAGAAATAGCATTCTGTTACTACAGAATGTTTTTATCCAAAAAACATTACCGAAACATCTTGAAGCACTATTTTAGAGCAAAACAGACAACTCATTATCTTCTTGAGGACTTACAGCTTAAGGTACTACAATGTATAGATATAATCCCTGCTAAGATTGCTGCTAAGTATAAAACACATAAATTTATTGGTTTTACTAGAAGAATGTCTAATGCATTATGCCAGTGTGGTTACTGAGTTAGACCTAAGGTCAAAGATATGTCTTTCAAAAATTAATTTTCAGACACTTAACAGCTTGAAATATAGTAAAGGAATAAGAAAAAAGACGACGAATCAGAGGAAAGAATGTAAAAGCATATCCTGTGTGAAAATTCTGTAACAACATGAACAAAATGTATTTACCATTCGCTGTCTAGCTTCTTCAAAGGCACGTTTTTCCTCTTCTAAACGCTGTCTTGCTTCTTCCTCTGCTTGCCGCCTTTGATTTTCCTGTCTTTGTCTTTCGAGTTCTTCAAATGTTACTTTCAGCTTACCAGGAGACAGAGGCTCTTGTGTTTCACTGTCTTTATTTTCACCCTGTGTAAGAAAAGTGAAATAGTTATATCTTAAATAATAGATATTTATTTCTTAGGTATTTTTAGATGTCTGGTTTACCATGGCAAATGAAAGGCACTTGGTTTCCTTAAGGGATTGGTTTTGTTCCTCATACTTCAGCTTCATTTCTTCATCCTGTCTCTCTCTTTGTTCTGCTCTCTCCTTTCCTGTGTTCGCAAAGTTCATTTTCATCTTCCCAGGTGTTTTGGTGGGTTTTACAGGCACTACTGTAACTAGCAGTGAATCATCCCCTTCCTGTCCAAAAAGATATTTATTTTATTTTCATAAAGTTTGACTTCTAAATAGACTCATTTCTTAATGAAACTGCTGGTTTTACCTGCGTGCACAAAAGCTTCCAAAAGAATTACTTGCATTGAGTATTAACCACAGGAATAAACCCATCTGCCTATGTCAGTCACTAGTTTTCTTGTAATATCTGAAGAGCATCAAGACTGAATTATGTTTAAACATAACTGCTGACAAACTCAATTTCTTTACATATTTTCATTAACCATTAGTTATAAATGTTCATAGTTTAGAAAAGAACAGGTGAAATTTTGAATACATAGCAATTGTAGCCTCCCTCTACTTCTAGTCTTATATTTACTGTGTAAAGTACATACTGCGGTTGCAATAAGCTAGTAGTTCTAGAGAGCAATATGTAATTTGTCAGGCAGAGTAAGTTTTTTGAAGGATGTTGCTGCTTCAAAGCTATTTTCACAACTTGCTTGCCAAAATACATTTTACCCAGTGTTGGTTTTTTTTTTTTTTTCCACAAAATACCATGATTAACAGGGATATTGTCAAATAACTTAAAACTAATGTTTTTGGGGTGTTTGGGTTTTTTTTGCTTTCCAAAACAGTAGTAGGAATATGATTTTCTTGTGTTAGTGAAGGACAATAGGACCTTTGGACCAAGCTTTTTGAAATTAAACATTTCTTTGCAAGACTTAAAATCCAAATCCATATGGTAAATTAGTCTAAAAATAAAAATACAGTTAACTGAGTCAGGTGTTCAAACATCTGTATATTGACAGAATCCCCTTTTAATTTCAAGTTTAAGGCAAAGAGCTTTTAAGGTGATACTTTCCAAAGCCAGAGGATTTAGAGTATCGTTGCCAGTATACCTCAAATCATTCTGGTGGCTTTGAATATTTACATTTTAGATGTTCTTAACTAACCACAAAGTATTCACAGCGCAGACTCTTATTTCAAACTTAAACAAATTGACTTCAAGTACAGACATATAGTTCCATATACTTTAAAAAAAGTATTTGTGTGCCATTTTCTAAGTTTTCCCAGCCCAAATTACAATAATAAAACAAAGTGAATAAAAATGTAGGTGAACATTTCTTTAAAAAAATCTGATTACCTCAGCTGCTGATTCAGTTCCCGAATTGTTAAAGTCATCAATCTATTAAATGAGAATTTCATATGATTACATTACTTTGGCTCTTTGCCTTAGATTTGCAGACACAGAACTGGAAATTCTTTTTGTATCAGTGATATGCATGTAGCACTTAAATTCACAGTGATGATAATGACTGAACCTTTGTTGGAATACTTCAGATAGGTTAGCTTGTTGAGGAGGAGGGAACATGATATAAAACATTATACAGAAAGTATGCTAGAGCATTCTTAACACTTCAGTTATGAACTGGGAAGAGTACTTCAGGTGTCCATTCTTCATTTAAGCATTCCAGAATTGTGTAAAAAAAAAAAAGCTAAAGCAAGCTCATGGATTATTTCCGATTCAAGTGACATTGTCTTCCCCTTAACTCCTGCAAAAAGCCCATTGCTGTATTTGCTTCATATGGTGTCTTTATGTTACTATCTAAAACTAGCATACTTTCTAAAATTTTCTCTTTCAGAATAGATTAAATATATGTTAGATACATTTCCAGTTAAAAGTACAGTTTTAAGAATGTTAAGAATCTTAGTAGGAAATACTATCCAAGTCCTTGTTGAAAACTGCCTCCTTTCTTACGACAAAAACAAACCTAAATTAAGTACTGCTATATTTCGGTTAAGTAAAAATTCACTTACGGTTCTAGTCTATCATTTAGATGCTCACTCTGACTGCAGCACTGAAGAAAACTTTAAAAAGGAATTAAATATGCACCAATGCAGAATTCTACTAAGGAAAAACTTTGCTTTATTGCATTCAACAGAAGTTGGGAGTCTATTCATATATATATTCAATAAAGATTCACAAAGTGGCAATGGAGTTAAATGTGATCTGGATCTTTGTGATTAACTATTTTAACTGCATTAGTGTCTTCTCATTTTTGCTTGCCAGTGGCATTTTCGTACTTCTTGCTTGCCTTAGTTCATCTATCACTCAACTGTATTCACTAACGTATAAGTAAATACAGTCTAAAGGAAGGGTTGGTAAAATATAAGAAACATTTCCAAATTAGTTCCGTAAATTCTATCAACTCTTGTATGTATATGACACCAAAATTTGTGCCTGACTCACATTCCTACCAGGTCTCTGCCTGCCTGGTTTCATCTGTAGCTCAAGTTTAGTGCTTAAAAAAAACATTACTGTAAAGAAGTGAATATTCTCTGAATATTATTCTCCACTTCTATCCCATCAAACATCTCCCATGTAAATTGCTACTATCTGAAATCTTAAGATCAAATCTTTCCAATCAATACAAAACGGTTTTTGTTTACAATTATATCCTGATGATTGTGATCAAATGAACATACCTCCTGTGCTTTTTTTGCTAATTCTCTTTGAATTTTTCTTTTCTCAATCATATCTTGTTCAATTCTGCGTTTTCTTTCTTCTTCCATTCTTTTTCTTTCCTCTTCTTGCCTTTGCTTCTCCATTTCTGCAAACTTGCCTTTAACGGTTCCTGTGAATATGAGATACACAATTCAGTAATTATATCTAACACTTACCTAGTGATTTATGTGGCCCTTAAAATCGGACCTCTCTTACCTATTAGCTTTGGAACATAACCTTTTTCTATTTTAGATAATTTTGTGTCATCGTCTTCATCAGATCCAAGCAGTTCTTTCATCTAGTTGATGAAACACAGAAAGTAAACTATCTTTAACCTTAAATAAAATTCCAATATTGTTGTCTTAAAATAACGTGAAAATATTTTCACATATTATATTAAGTATTAAAATAACACAAAATATTTGCAAAGAAAATAACCTCCTGCTTTCTCCTGTTCCATTCTCTCTCTCTAACATATTGTTCTTTTCTTCTTTGCTTTTCATCTCTAGATCTCCTTTGATTTCTTTCTTCCCTTGCTTTCTGCATAGCTTCAAATTTATCCTTTACATCACCCTTGTGAAGCTTGGGCACATAGGATTTTTGGACGGGTTTAGATGAAGAAAGCAGAATCTTGGTGAAGATATAGAAGAAATTAAGATAAGAAAAAGAAAGGTGAAACAGATGGACAGAAATATTCTGACAGATTGGATTAGAAGGAATGTAAGAACATAAAACAGAAGTGCATTTGGGATTATGAACTTTGTGCCACTAGACTTTATTATTTAAGCATCATTGTATTTGTTCATGAATAGTAATAAATACTAAAATATCCAAAACACCATTTTAGCATTGTATTAAACTTAGGCTATAAGTAATTGTAATGAATAGCTACATACCTAAGTACATGAACAATGTGAATGTACATTTTCAGTTACTATGACTTTAACAATTAGATACAGATCTGTATTGCTGCTTTCAATCATAAGCAGTCACCAAAGAGCCCCTCCACCCCAACACTTAAAATAAAGAAACAGACAATACAAAATGTATGTTTTCTTCTGCAACACTTCAACAGCCATATATGGTTTTAAAATAAATAGCATTATTTGTTCATTTAAAACTTCCATTACATTATATATTTATTTTTTAATATTTAGAGAACTATAAAGTGCCAAGATCACTGGACTTGTAGGACTCTGATACAGCTGGTGGACACTTCTTTGCCAGTGCTTACTCTGTGAGTGTCCCAACAGTACAAGAAGTTCCCACTTTTCAGAACTACTGTAAAGTTTTCTCTTTTTACTGCAATGACTACAGGAATGCTCTCAGTACAGTAATGCTGAGAAAACTGCCTGAAAACATTCCATAGTTCACATTTTGCATCTAAACCAATAGTTTTTGTTCCCGCTTTTGTTCCTGTTGCTCAGTGAGTCTACGCAGAAGAACTACCAGAACTATCCTAATATTTACAGTTTAGAATTAGATGTAAAGGTTGCCCTGAATTTTCCCCCCAACATTTAAAGTTTCTTCATATTGTTACCTTTATTTTGCCTTCCTTCATTTTTTTTTTTAATAAGAACGTATTTCACAGACTCCATCAAATCAGCTATTTTCCTTAAGCTACATTCAAGTGCCCTTCCATTGCCTTAAAGTAACAGCAGTACCATCAGACTTCCAGTATAATTGCTTGGTTTTTACAACGGTTTGTAGTTACTCTTCTTGCAAACATCAGTTGTAAATTACATTACTTTGATTACTTCAAAATTCGTACATACCTCAGTTTTCTGTGCAATGTCATTCATGGCTACTGTATTGTGCTCTGCACCTGGTATGTTTAAGATTGCTTTCAGTTTCTACCTGAAAGAAACAGTTGTAGTTATATTCCTTTCTTTTCCTTTTAAATGATGCTTTCACCATCTTCCTGTAAATAAGTTTGCATAGGCTGAAATCGATGTATCACAATTTCATTTGGTCCTTTGAGGCTTTTGAAGACATGAATAGGTTCTAAGTATGCGACACTAATTAAAAGAACAAGCTTATGATTCACTATTCATGCTCATAACTCCTCTATATAGTCCTTGATACTGGTTTTTAATTTCCATTAAAAAAAAAAAAAATCCGAACAAAAAAAAAAAAACCCGGAGCCAAGCTCTGGCAGCCCTGGCTGGTGTGTTGCGAAACTGTTTTTCTGAACAGCCGTGCTAGCAGAAAGGAATGTGCTCTGCACCTCCACCGAGCCGCTTCGGTCTGATGTTCGCGCCGGGGAGCTCGGGCTGCCCGAGGGCTGCAGGGGCCAAAACCCCCCGGCTGCCCCCCCGGCTGGCGGGCAGCGAACCCCCCTGCCTCTGAGACACAGGGGCATCTCCTGCCTGCTGAGTCTCAGCCGGGCTGGCAACTCTCAGCTCTTCACCCAACACGTGATTACAAAATAAGGCTTCCCTTTCTCCTAGGGCCATTCTAGGAAAAACTGGTGCTAAAAACTATGAAGTGAGTTAGGTAAACCACATACGTACCTTAGAGGAAGTATTTATATCCTTTAATTGTGGGCTGGAAATTGCACTGCATTTTTTTAAGAGAAAAGCATTACAAATTTTAAATTACACTGTATTTATCAGGAACCTAACAGAAGGCACTTCAAGTTCAGGGCAAGCTCCCCCCCCCCCCTTTTTTTTTTAAATCATCATGTCTATCAAAGTAGGAAATCTTGACATGACTCCTGTCTCTACTACAATGATGCCCTGAGTCTCAGGCAAGCCTTAAAAACTCAGTGTACCAAACATGGTGCAAACAGACTCAAAGGCTCAAAGTAAACAGGCTAGAAAAGTAGCTTAGTACTGGAAGGGGCTTCTCACTTGGGGTTTAGAGGAACTGAAGTCAGGGCATTTCATGATACAGAAAGTTCTTAGTAGTTCTTAGCCTTTAAGTTCTCGAATTCTGAATTACAAACATTATAAACATGGGAATTTTTACGTGGTGTTAGAAATAATGAACATTAAGAGTTGTTTTCATACAAGCTCTTCAAAAACACACCAATGTCATCGATGTTCACTGGTGCTGCTGTAGCTGTACAGATTGAGTGAGATTCTAAGATATCTCTGGATGTTTTTCCAAATAAAAGCAGTCACAACATATGAAACAAGCATTTAGCTACAAACCCCTGCCCTGATTTACAAATTCCAAACTCTTCAAATTCAGCTTCAACAGAAATGTTCTCGAGAACATTGCGGGTGCTCCCTTTCAACAAATGAGCACGGAAAGTCATTCCCCCCCAAATCAAAGTTGACAAATACCTCATTTGTAGACTGACAGGAATCCAAGGCATTTCAGTTTGTCACTTGTGAACACATGAACATAAAATTACTAAGTGCTAATTCCTATTTAGACTGTTTCAGATTAGCAATAGCATGTTAGAGTTCTGTTGTGTCTAGAAAGGCAGATAACTTCACTAGCATCCTTGTGGTGTCAAGGTCCCTATAGACTTCAACGTGCATTTCTATAGTGTGCTGCCGGGTTTGCGCGTCTTGGTAAACTTTAGCTTAGTGCATGCATGTAAGTTAAATCCCCATTTTGATCAGTATAACCTTAAAGCTAGTTAAAATCTTCTGACTTACTCATTTTTCTAACCAGCTTTTAGAGAAGTTCTCTGCTCTCTTCTTTTGCTACTCTTTTTTTCATGTTTTCTTCCCTACTTTTAGCTGACAGCCTTTAGCCTTGTACTTAAAATACAGTACAGAGGTTGAATAAAAAGTTTACTGCATGAATCCATCAGAAAACGAGGGAACATCATGCATTGGTACAATTCACGCACTGAAGTAGCCTGGGACATAGAGACCTTCTAGCCTTCATACAGGGCTGGAGCCAGAAAGTAAGTCCCAAAGATAACCTTTCAGATGGAATTCCATTTCACCTCAATACCTTGAGTGAAGGCTACTGCTAACCTTCACCACAGCAACAATACCCTATCTATATGGCTTCATCTTAAAGTCATTTGAAAGCTGACTATTCCAAAGTCTGATTTGCTTATTATGTGCAGTTAATTGTAGGAAGAAGATTATGTTTACAAGTCTAAGAACACACTTGAGCTTTTGGATCAACTTTGTCTTGAACCTTTCTGACAGCTCCAATTACCTGAACCCCTTGACAGTATCACTAAGATTGCTGACAGCAGTGAGACCCACCCTCAGATAAAAAATATGAAATTTTCTTTAAAAGTGCAAATGTTAGAAGAAATTTTCTTTGCAAATTCCTGCTGTCTGAACATCTAGAAATGTGCCAGTCCAACAGGTTGCGGGCCTTCAAGATGGCAGATAAGTTTCTGCCATGTGGAATACTGCCATATCTGCTATTACTTTAGGCTACTTTCCACTTCTTTGGCATCACTAACTCTTGATATGCTTGAAGGTTAGCCAGCTGGCTTGAATACATTTTGCATCTGCAAGTCATCCTACCTCCACCTTTGATGCTAAAAGATACGGATATAATGCAGTAGGGCATTACTAAACATGATACCACCCATGTTTGCCCTTTCATCCTTCCCTGTGGCAGTTTAACCTTGAGTAGGAGCAGAAGCAGGACCCTGCCTCAGGCACCCCCCAAGGCCAATGAGGAGTTCCCAGTAAAGACAATCCAGAATCTTTAAGCAAAACAAGAAGCACTCCTTGAGTTTTGGCTTCCGTCTGTGCGGCAGTGGCCACTGCTTCAGGAACAACAACAGTGGATGGAAGCTCCTTTGTATCTGCCTTATCGTTAGGAGAGGATCCACACAGTCAGTGTATCATTGCTGAGAAGACGTAAGCGGGTAAGTCAAGAAGTCCTGGCATCTACGAATCATGGAAGAACAGTGCCTTCATCCTCTGCCCAGGCTTTGCACAAAGTATGTGGTAATAAGTTTTCCAACCCAAGAAACTGACCTACTAACTCCCTTTTTAGGGAATGAACTAGTTTTATTTTTAAGTTGTATATATGTATTTATTCTTGTTTTGTAGTAAGAATTTTCCCACAGAGTTGATCTAATACAAGTGATGCATATTCTTTGAGGCAACAAGAGTCTACTTGTACATGCGCTTATCAGAAGAGATTTGTTCTTCTATTATGAAGCTGTCCAAACTTAAGATTCAGTCTCATCTTTTATTTCCCAAGATCAACATATCTTACGAAGAGCTGTAGGAGCTCCTCATTTAAGCTTCCCACTCAGAAAAATCCCGTATTATAATGTCAGACATAACCATGATTAAAAAATTAATTCAGCTCGTTACTAGGCTTTTCTTTGCCTATTCGGTCTCATCACACTAGCATTCACCTGACAGTAGTCTATTTTTTCTCTCTCTACATTTTTACTTTCTTATGATTAAATAAAATATCTCAGGAAATGTTCATCTGGTGTTATAATGTTTATACTGACAGTACCAGACTGCAGTCCCACTTTCAAAGGAGGTCTACATTGAGATTTTTCCTAGAAGAGAAATTTAACCTCCATCTTTTGATCAATATTCCTACCTCTGGAATTGAATGGAAGAGAAAAATGCAATTCCTGGAATTACTTGACTGGATGTAATGCGGAGAGTCATCTCTAAGAAGTTTCAAGTAAAAATTTAATACAAAACCAGTGCACAGGAAACTAGGTAATAGATTAGAAATACTCTGTGAGAAAAAAACAAAAAAACCCAACCAAACAAAACAACCCACAACAAACAACTGTTTTCAAACATCTTATTTGTTTGCTGCAAATGGACAGGCTATCACCTCCAATATGTCTTGATTTGTTATGATCATAGCACTTTTTCAACTTTGCACACAGACTCCCCTAAAACCTTACTTTAGGCAAAAATCAAAGTGAACAAAGAAAACCATTAAGGGGACACAGAAGGTTTGATGGCTCACCAGTCCCAAAATCCATCTCCTTAAATTTAGTTAATTTCCATTTCTGGAAGGAGGGTCGGTGTCCCGGATTGATCAAAAACTGTTGGGCAGCTTTAACCAGATGAAAAAAAAAAAAAAACAACTCCCATAAACAACTCAATTCCCCTTCACTAGAAAACACAGAAGTTGTTGATTTCCAGTGGCGTGATTAACATCCTCGCACGAGACACGGGAAAATACCAGCATTTTCCTGAACTAAATACTACTTTTTATAATTGGAGTATGAAGCCAGGACTTAAAAAATAAGTCTAGTTCCTCTGTGATTTCTCCTTTCGGGAGGCCCCCCTGCTGTCCTATGGCTACTGTGAGTTATAAATAAGCCCTTCACAGCACAGTCTAAGTTACATTTACCATCTGTCTCCTCTTTGTGATCTACTCGCAAGGAAGACTCTATTATATAAGAAAACCATATTGTGAGAGTTGGAAACTCACTACTTGCAGCCAGAGCACTTAGGAGAGGAAAACACGGTCCACAGTGTTCAAATTTTTAATGAAATACCAAACAGAACTGGAAAGAGGAGGGGGAAGAGAGCAATGTTCAGCATTTATGTCCTTACTGCAACTCGTCTGGAATGACACTACCAGTTGTTGTACTAAATTACAGATACTAAAGTAGATACTAAAATTACCGTGCATAGGGGAAGATCCTGAACTGGCATAAACAGTCACCTCCACTGAAGCCAATGAGTTACGACAATTAACAGCAGTTGTCTAAACTTCACATTCTGTAAAATACAAAATACAAAACTACTCCCACTTGCTTGCATTTCCTTCATTAAGTCTTCATAATTAAGGACTAGAATGCTTACCGACAATTGACCCAGATAATTCAATTTCATACACAATCTCTTCCTCAATCTTTGAATTTATTGCACTTCATCATTTATTGAGAGTCTCAGAATAGAATAGAATAGTCCGTGCAGATATGATGTTATTTCTAAAAACATTTATTATAAAGGATTTTGTCTATGTTTATATAACCATGAATACTCTTAACGTGACAGTGCCATGCAGTCCAACTGCTGTGTTAAAGAAATAAAACCACCCTTCTCTGTAGAAGAGATCTGTCTGTTAATTCCTTACTCTCTTCAGGTACTATTATGGGGTACGTAGGCTCCAGAACAAACGTAGTGGGGGCTGAGAGACTGCTCTGTTACGGGGAAAGCCCTGCTGAGATCTTCTGGGCCGTGATTTCATGTTCCCAGATACCTGCTGATCCTCATCATGAGTGGCAGTAAATTGTGAACCAAGGTCCTCAAGAGAAAAATCAGCATATTTTGCCCTGTACCATAGTTCCTCCATCCCTCGCTGTGTCACAGCAGCTGAAGAGAAACAGTATGATTTGAGCTCAACTCCTGACTTCACTGACAGGACTTCAGAGAGCAGCATACTGAAATGTGGGATAAAATACTGGACATGAAGCACTACTGCAGTTAGCTTCTTCCCTTCTCTGATGACAGGACGCAGCCTATCTGCCTCTTCTCTGAAATCCTCGTGGTCAGCTCGGACTGAGCACAGGGGCGGTCACTGTGCCCGTGCTGTGCCTCTGCCACGGAGGAGAGACCTCCCGGCTTCGGGGAGAGGAGCTGCTGTTTCCACTCGACCAGCTCTACTCCCTTGGTAGCGCTGATGCCCAAAAAAACAGACTCTGTAATAACCCTCATGTGTACAGGTACGGCTGCCTTCAGCACACAGCGAAGGGTCACTCCCATTGCTCCTGGAACTGCTCTTCCACAGTCATTAACCTTCACCTCCATTTCCCCACAACGAGCTTCCAGAGGGCTGACCGTGGCAGCGCTCCTTGTTAGAGGAGTTTCAAATCTGAATATCCAAGTATGGTAAATGACAGATTTGTCTGTCTTCAACTTCTGTCACCGCGGAAACTACTCATTTAAAATATGCCAAATGCAGTTAGAGAAGGTATTTCACTGGCATGTCTTAAACCATCTACCCTGTTCTTGTATCTCATCAGACTCTACTTTCTACATATACTAGACACGCTCTCATACTTCTGAATGTTCCTTAATACACTTGGTACTCGTATAAGATTAATTATTACTTTACAATTTCATTTCATTGGACGTTTCTCTAAGAGATCTAAGGCCTCTTCAGACCCGACATGTAAGGTTAAGAGTACTATGTTTTCTAGCATGCAACACTTGCTGGTAATTTTTCGAAATACTTTTCATTAAACATGCTTTTTTTTTTTTTTCCCAGACGTGTATGTGCTAGCAGAAGCTCTTATGTACGTAAACCAAACTTGACAGCAAGTGGTTTGTAAGCTGTCACAGAAGCCCAGTATTTTTTCCCGAGCCACGCCGTCTCCCAGCCATCGCCCGGGGATGAAGCGGAACCGCCAAACGCACGCTGCACGCCCTCGCTGCTGAAGACCTCACCCAACAAAGCCGAACTCCTCTTCACGTAGAGCCGTGGGGTTTGTGAACACGCGCGATTTTCCAACGACTTTTATTAGGCGCAGATGACCGCGAGGCGGCCTGACGAGGCTGCCCCCCCCCCCCGCGCCCGGGCTGCCCGGCGGGGCGAGGGGACGCGGCAGCTCCGGCGGGGCTCGGCGCTCCCCGCGGGGCACAGGCCCCCCCCGCGCCGATTTCATCTCCGCTCCCACCCGTGGGGCAGCCCCCGCCAAGCCTCGCCCCCCCACATCCCGGCCCCTCTTTCCGCGAGGCTGCGGCCGCCGTCCCCAGGCGCTGCCACCCCCCCGTCCCCACAACCGAGGGGCAGCTTGGCGGCCGCGGTGCGAAGGGGGCTGCTTCTCCCCGCGGGGGGCTGGGAGGGGGCGGCCGGCGGAGCGAAGGAGCCGCCGCGGGTCGGACCGCGGGAAGCAGCGGGCCGGGCCCCGCCGCACGACGAGGAGGGGGGGCCCGGGGGGGGGGCCCGCCCGCGCCCTCTCGCCCACCCGCGGGCCGGCGGGGCCGCTCTTACCTGCGAGCGCTGCCCCGGCGCTGCGGCTCCGGCGCGGTCCCGGCGGGCGGGCGGGCGGGCTGGCGGCTGCGGAGCGCCCCTCGGCTGCGGCCGCCGCTCCGGCGCTGCAAGTTTCCATAAAAGTCGCGACGGGCGGCCGGCGCCCACATTCCAGGCGAGCCCCGCGCCGCAGCAGCTGGCCCGGCCCGGCCCGGCCCGGCCCCGCACGCCGCGCCCGGCCCCTCGCCGCGGCGGGGGGCGCGCAAGCCCGGCCGCGCCGCCAGGCCCCCCGCTCCCCCCCTCCCCAAGCCGCGGACAGCCACCCCGGCCAACAGGCTTATTTTGGGCTGGAAGCAGCACGGAGCTATAAATAACCGGGGGAGGGGGGCCGCCTCTCCGTTAGCGCCTTCCCGGCCGCAGGGCAGCGGCGGGAGGGGAGCGGAGCGGAGCGGAGCTGCCCGCGGCCGAGGCGGCGGCACCGCGGCTCTTCCCCGGGCACAGCCCCCGGCTCTGCCCCGGGCACAGCCCCCGGCTCTGCCCCGGGCTCGCACCTACCGGACTTGCGCCTCCGGGCCCCCAGCGCTGGGTCGGGCCCGGCCCGCGGGGAGGCTTTATACCCACGGCCGCCGGGTTGGGGCACAGGCAGAGCAATTAACTAATAATAGTAATGTGACAGCTAGCTGAGGGAGCCGAGGGGGATCCAGCTGGTGCCAGAGCTGCGAGGCGGAGAGCGCGGTGGGTTTAAAGCGGCGCCTTTCTCTAGAAACTTTGCAAAGAAGAGGCAGAAACATGACTTTAGTACAGCTGAATACAGTCCTTTTTCTGCTTAAAGATGACTGGTTTCCTGCGTGTTCAATTGCAAGGTCTCCAGTGCAGAACTTTCCTCCTCTTATCTTGCTCGGAGCCCAGCTTTCCGCGGGATTAGAAACATTAGGGAGATAACTGCATCACCTCGGGCTTTGCAAATCTGAACAACGGCCATCGAAGTTAAAACACAGAATGTGTTTGTCTGTTGAAGGACAGGGCAGCAGCTTTGCCCCAGCACCACCCTCAAAAGCGCTGTTCTATTTCTGAAGCAAAGACACAAGATTTCAGTCAAGGTAGGGCTTTCAACTCAGCAAAGTAACAGTTTTCAGTAGATGAACACATGTTAACACATAAAACAAATTTGGGCAGCTCAAAGCATACAGACAGTGCCCCTGTACAGCAGTAAGGATTAGACACTTTATGTTCTCTATTTCATTATTTGTATTTCCCCACAAGGGAAGTCTTACTCCACGACTGGAACTCACTGTAGCAGTTTGCTTTGGAAATAATCCTGAAAAAACTCCTCTCCTAAAACCAAGAAAAGAGACAACAGGCATAGAGAGACCGACGCAATTAACCCTTTCAGGTGAGTACCGCCGGCTGGGCTGGCTCCCGCTGAGCAGCCCCTGCCCGGGCACAGCCCCCGCCGCGGCTTCGCCAGCGCCCTGCCCCAACCCGCCACAGCCACCCCCAGCCTGGGGGGGTCTGCATTTACTAAGGTGCCTGGCTGGGTCACTTCTTGACTTCCAAGACTAGAAACACCAATATTTGGCTTTTTGGTGGATCACTGGCCTATGTGTTAGAAATTTATCAATGCTGTGGACCATTTAATAGAAGCAAACTTAAACAGGTTGACAAAGTCAGTTTAAACTGGACAGCTCAAAATATGTTCCCGCTCCATTTTTTTTTTTCCATGTATATAATAAATTTTGTAATAGTTGTTTTTTGTTGGATTTCTGAGAGAAAATTCCGATTTCAGGACAACTAACTGGTCTCAAACCTCCTGCCAAATTAAATAATTTTGCATTAGATTTCAAGAACTGTGCAAATTCAAGTTTTCAATACAGTTATATGAGCAACAGTTGTTTCACTGAAATATTTTATTTAATATACACAGCTGCAGTTCATTTAGGCAATAGAAAGTTCACAAATATGCTTACTCTGACACTTGATTTGACACATTTAGTTTGATAGGAACCAAAGACTACAAAAGTGAAATATAATAATCATTAAGAACACATTAAAAGTGAGATTACTATTACAACTAAATTACAAATGATATAAATATTTGATTCTTGTATAATCCCTACACATTCAACATTTCTGATCTTCAGCATACAGTTATGGCAGAAGAGGATGGCTTTTGCATTTAGCTTGTTCTTATCAGCATGGAAAGTGGCATTCCAAACTATTTAAAAATTTCAAGATTATATCCTAAATTCTGATTTTGATTATGAATTCACTAAAATAGAATTGCATCACATTATCAGTGCTTTAGTGCATCTCTGGCACTTGTGTTTTCAAAGATGGTGGACCTCTGAAATTCTTAAGCCATATGGCTGGTTATCAACAGATATTCTTTATACAACTTCTAACTAAGGTGTATAAACCTTCAGTTATAAGAGAGCTGATTCCAGTTCTGTGTTACAAGGAGACAGTTACCTCCCATGGCAAGGTACAGCTCTGTCCCTGGCGTTAGGAAGCACAGAATGTAGGAATGCTTTCTGGGAAAAGGTCCAAAAAGACCCAGAGGAGATCAAAAGCCTACCCACACCTACCTGCACATTTCCCTCTTCTCTTTTTCTCCCTTACACTCTTTCTCTCTTTCTTTCTTTCTTCTTAACTGTTTCTCATTCAAACATTTGTTGGTTGTTTCTTACACCAACCAGATACTGTAATTCTTATTTTGGATGGGAAATACATCAATTCAATTGCCAATCCCATTCTATGGACTTTTGAGAGCTCTACAAGTACATGGAAGTGCTCCTGACTTAAAGGGATACATTTGTTTAAGCCAGATACTATCAAGTTCTTACCCATTTTCTAAATATTTTGGTGTTTCATTAGGCCTTTTTCATTCTTCTGTTTAAAAATATCTTTTTTGTTTTGACAGAAGATTGACTTTTAAATTACCTGGAAACATTTATAATCTCATGCAATGCTGTTGCACTTTCTTTAAAAGCTTTTTATAAATAATATGAAAATGGCTTACTTAAATATACATTTACTTCTGTGAAAAAGTACATTTCTGTCTTTTTGTGATGAATGTTACGGTGTAATTTTCTTCGTATCATTTTACTAGACCAGACAAACCACTGCAACCTCCAGGCAGTACATCTGCTGTGGATATGCAATTTACTCTGTTACTTCTATTTCCAGCTATTCCTATTGAGTCTGAACACAAGATGACGCCTTGCTGTGCCATATAATTTCATTCATAGGCTTGAAAAAAGCAACCAAAATACAGATACTTCTGAGCAGATAAGTATGTTTAAGCTAAGTGAGATGGGTGAGAAAAACTTCACATTCCAGCACTAAAGACATACTTTGCGGAGAAAAAAGTATAGCATGAAGCATGCTGCCAAGTTCAGCAACTTGAATGGAGGAAATAGACCAACAGCAGCATTTGGAATTTCTGTTTTATTACACATAGAAGTATACTTTTTTAAATAAACTATAATCAGTTGGCATTTCACATAAGTTATATGACACATTTTCATAATTTTTATATTTAGCAAATGAGTACAACAAAGGAGCAGAATGTTGGCTTCAGTAAAATCTACAGAATTATACAGGTCCTCCTTTTTAAGTATCATCCTTTTGGGTTGCGTTTGCAACAGAAGTTGAAATGTTTCTAACTGAAGTTTGTTTCAATATGCCAGATTTTAACAGTATACTTCTCAAGTATCTGACTATTTAGAATTACTCTCTCCTTACTCTGTATTACTTGACACAGGATAGATTCCTGTGGGCTGGCATTGTGTGGCAAAATATATGTAAGTGTAGTTTAAAAGCCTCAGCTAACTATGGAACATTGTTTCAGTTTACAGAAATTCAAAGATTATACATCATCTCTATTTATTACCTCTAGCGCAGAAAAAAAAAACTTTACTGCAAGTTCCCTCATGCCTTCTTACCATGCTGTGCTCCTATCTAAAGTTCAAGCTTCCATATCCTGAGCCACAGTTTTGCATTGCACATAGATGGCCACAATTGCTTAAATTTCCTCTGAAATAGACACCAGACTTCCTACAAGGAAGGGAGGAAGACAGAAATACTTTTAAATTATAAAACACTGCCTTTGATTCTGTTTCATGATCAGCAAATCTCCTTATACATCCTTATGTAAAAATATATTTTGAAATGCTACACATGAACTGAGAAGGGTATTAGATTATTTACCACCGCTATATGAAGTAGTAACAGTTTGAAAAAAAAAATAAAAAGTTTTAAATTAATTGGTGAAGCTAGCATAGCTTTTTTGAATATAAATAAGTGCTTTCAAACATCTTCATGATGTTTAGATATTTTAAAACAAAATAAAGTAAAAAATGCATACTGGAAGTCATTCCTGCCCCAAAGGTGCCTGCATTTCCCGCATCGCCCTTTTACACTGTAGTACAAAATGACTGCTTGCACCCACACAAATGTAATTTCAGGGCAGTGGCAACACATTCAACTTTATGCGTGTGATTACTTTATTGCATGTGTCACATGAATCGGAGACTGCATATACCCCAGTCGAAACACCTTCTCGATCTAGACACACGATGATTTGGAGTGACTGAAATGAACGTTTCGTACTATAGGCCTTTAAAGGAAACAACTCCATCAGCTTCACTTACAAATTATCTGCGCAAAAGTACAGTATTTCATAAATTAACTTTACCCAGGTGTTACGGAAAAAAGCTTTGGGATACATTAAGTATAAATACAATGACAGTTGAGCTGCAAAATTAATTTATGTAAATACAATGATATGCTCACCAGTTCTTTTCGCAGATGTACACTTAACCTCCCTGAGTCCTTTTCCATACTTAGTGACATGACACATTCTCAGTTGCCTGCTCAATAACAGCAATGATAGCTTCGGCGTTAGAGAGAAAGGCACGAAGGAGCACGTCCAAGTGCACTCCCTCTCACTTGTCATGGATTTTAAACTTACTGTGCTTTTGCTTCTACGAGCCCACTGGTCATGACATGCCCATGACCACTGACACAAGCACTGACGTGTCTGAGTGAATCTGCTCCAAGGTAGGCCATTAAAAGTTCAGTGTGTCGGATTAATAATTGCATAAGATCTTCAGCCAAACTCTCCATGGTTGAGTATCTCACCTTTTCAAAATCAAAAATATCTTTGAGGAAGAAAAGCACTTGATCCTAGTGGGGAAAAAAATGGGAAAACTTGTATTCATTTACAAGAAGAAAAAAAGTATGCAATGCTAGCTATTTCTTTTATACGTTTCCTAAAAACATCCATTAATGTATTCTTTTGGTGCTAAGGTAGAAGTGCACTAAAACAGACCTTGCAAAACAGTTCTAGGCTTAAAAAAAAGTTTAACATGAAAATATTTATTTTCACGGTTTCTTACTGTTAGTCTTAATCTTAGGAAAATACACATGTATGCCTATAAATAAGATCCTCATTTCTTTTAATTGGAAAGATTTTTTTAAAAATTAAGTGGTAATTAAAAGTTGCAAACCTTGAAGAAGCAGCATAGGTCATAAAGGGAATTTCTAGGACCCAAGAAGCCCCACGCCAAAACAGGGCTGATATGTTCACATATAGCATAGAAATGTGCAAAAAATCCATCAGGCACCTAGTGATGTAAAAATTGTAAACCAAAGTTACATGATAAATTTATTATAAATCTCTATTATATAACATTAAGTCTTCAGAAAACCTTAAACCACTTCAGGGCTGTGGTAACTTTAACTCCTTCAAGTTATAGGGCAACTGTACCAACCAAGTGTCATGATTTTTTTAAAAAAGGTTTTTATTTCAGTGGTACTTTGTGTTTTAAATATTTTAAGATTAATAGGCATAAGCCTACTCTGACTCCCATATGACTGATTAGACAATTTTATTCAGTTATTCCTGTTTGAGCCCCTATACTCTGTATAGCTGAAACTTGCAAAAAAGTAAGCAAACTGCACAGTTTTGAATGGAAAAAAAATACACTTTACAAGAATCCATCTTTAGATCTAAAGAAAAACATAAAATATCTGTGAATGTCCATCCTGTTGTTACTTTTACAACCTACAGGCACTCGTAAAATATAACATAAATTTATAGGTCATATATGAATGTCCAGTTTATTTTATATATTCATATACATTTTTTAATAATTTTATAACACCAGCTAATTTATAAAATAATAAACATAGAAACTCATCATTAATTAAAACACAGAATACCACATAAAGACCTGTCTGTAAGTAAATTTAGGTTCATCAAACTCCTGGTGGTACAGTTGGTTTCTCCCTTACAAAGACTTCCACGGTGCTTAGCTTTATCCACTTTTGAACAACTCCAGCAGCACTGATGAAACTAGTCCCAAGAAGTAAAGTTACTCACACATTTACAAACTTAGAAATATTGAGACTTCAGTATACAAAGGAACTACAAAATAAGGTAGTTATGCAGTGCAACAGAGATGAAAATAATAGGTTACTATAACATCTATTTTGGAGATATAATCCCTTTATATAAAACTATTATAGAAAAGATCTATTTATATAAAATATAGTATGTATATATATACACACACACAGAGGGATGTAACATCTCAAGTCTTAAAATATTAAGGTGGCTGAGGACCTTTTATAAAATACCAACTGCCATTGGAAGCAACTTTTTTTACTACGAAATACGTCTTTAGCAGTTAGGAGTCACGTAAATAGCTATCCTTAGAATCAGAGAAAGGTGTCAGCGCCAATCACTCGAGCAGAGGTGACTCACCTGCAGTATGCAAAAGCACTTCTAATGGCTAGGGATATCCTGCAGCAAGCCTCAACTCTGCTGTTGGACTCGCTGTTACACAGATGGGGCATTTGCCTCCTAGGTCTAATAAAATCCTCCAGAGGTGGAAGTGAGGAGCTGCTGGCACAGAGTTCTGCTTCGAAATCTGCACAGTTCCTTCACTGAGAGGTCAGGATGAAGAAGGGGGCTGGGGGAGGCTGCAACAGAGCTCCTGCTGCTGGCAAGGAAGACGGTACTTCTGGTAAGTTAAGGGATGGGACTGAATTTTATGTAGCTGTGGAGATGCTGCAGGGAGATGAGGTTGAGAATCCCAGCGTAAGCAGACGAGATACAAGATTAATGACCTTGGTCTGCAAAAATCCAAGGTACATGTGTGGGGCCATAAGTCAGAGAAACTACTGTCACCACCACTGACTGGACCTAAACTAGGTTGAAGAACCTTTCAGCTGAGACTTTTTGCTAAAAAAATAAATGGTATTAGGGCCCCAGGAGCTCAAATTCTACAATTAGCAGCCTCTTGTCTAAAGTAACATGATTACAGGATTAAGGGTTGATCTGTAATTTATTTTGCCAAAGCTACAAACGGAACTTCAAATTCTTAGGAGCTGATCAGTAACTTTGGTCCACATAATTTGCAAGGCAACTTACCTTCATTTGCTGTCTTTTCTGCTTCAGTACTGACCAACAGCTTGAAGCCACAGCCTAAATGTACAAAAAAAAAAAAAAAAACAAACCAAAAAAAACCCCAGAGAGAAACAAACAAAAAAAAACCCACCCAAAACCCTGTGTAACTTCACTATAACGGAAATTATTTTTCATCTCAAAAGAATTGATCTGCAGAATACTATCTATCTTATGGGGATTTCTATTTTCTTCAGCATCAAGCTTGTGATAACACAAAGCTTAAAGTGATAAAATATCAGCTGATACAAATAACTAGTTTTATATATAGTTCATATTTATTTTCAGATCTAACTTTGCAACATTTTCTTCAGTTTAATTCAAATGTAATTTGGTACTCTTGACTGATTTTACAGTTGCAACAGTTAGTAACAGTCACTGGTTTTAACTGAGGACCAGTCTCTTATATAGCAAAGCCTGTGCTCAGACATAAGTAACTATTTTAGATATTAAGTAGCATGTGAACACATTGAAATGTCTTTTTTCATTTTATAAAAACATTCCTGCAATAGCTTCAGATTCAGCTAAGGAGTTTTGTCCAAATATGGACCTGTGAAATACAATGTACTGCTATCAGTACTAGGCTTTTTCCCCTCATAGCTTGTAAGTATCCTCATCTGATTCTCCTTCAGTACTGTAATATAATTTACTACTCACAAAACACAATGTTATCACATAACTACAAAAATAAATATATTCATATTACCTTTTCCCCCCTCTATATTTCAATTAATATTTCAATATTTCAATTGAATATTTCAATTCAAAGACAAAAATAAAAGGAAAACTGGCAGTTTATAGGTATAAATGAAAGAAATGACAGTAGTATCTCTACCAGCTGACCATGGCAGTAGCCTGTATGTCTGTAACAGAACGACGAGATCTATTTCACAAATAAACAAGCACATCTGAAAAAGCCTCAAATGTTATCAACATTTGAATGCCTATATTGTATTAATTTACTTTTTTTTATTTGTAATTTTGTGCGTTAGTGCTAATACTCTGATATATGAACCAAAACCTGTATCTAACATTTAAGATGTGGCTAACAGAAACTTCTCTTCTGAAATTCTACTTCCTCAGAGAAAACTCATTTTTGCGGACAAGTTGAAGTATTTTCTCCAATACATTAAACCTTTCTGTACATTCTGGGCCCGGACTTGTTTAAATTGCTATATTGAAAAATCTGATAATACAATCTGTTTGTTTTTTTCTAAGGAATATTTCAGGTACTTATTCAGTTATATTGGAAGTTGAATTAGACTTTACAGCAAAGGACAATATAGTTTCTTTGCTTCAAAATTAATGCTATTATCAAGACAATATATACTGTCTTTATCCTACAGTTATTGGATTTATTCTCATTTTTACACTGTGCTTTAAGAATATAAAGCACAGAACACTGGAAGAACAGTTTTGGCAGATACAGAAATTTTATATCAGAAAGCTCACACCAATGCTGTATCAATCATACCATTTACCTATTATAATGTACTACAGAATAATGATTATGAAAATTACACATAAATACTTACTGTTTCTTTAAAAGAGGAATTCAGCCAGCGGTTATTTACTACATTCTGTATAGATATTGGTGGATTTTCTAAATCTTCAAATGAATCCATTAATATGAAGTCCAGAACAACATCATAAAAATTCAGGTCTTTCACCTATATTAAAACAGAACATGATCTAAGTAATCTAGTTTCTCTTTCAGCAGTGGGATTCAGGATGCAGCATATTCTAACTCTGTATTAACATGCAGATTTATAATTGTTTTTAATGAATATTAAAGATACTTCGTCAGTAATGGAGAAGTTAAAAAAAAACATTACATGCTTTCTGGTACTAAACTGCAGTGGTAGATGCCATTTCTCTAAATCAGCAGTGTAAACAAAAAAGAATTGCCTTTCCCACAATTCTGAACTGTAAAAATTTATTTTTAGATGCTACAGTTTGCGTAATTAAGGGTAAAAGCACTTTTCAGAATTTCAGACTCACGCCTCTAGCAGCAAGTTCCATTTCAGTATTATCCCAGTGATCTGTCTGTTCCAAAAAGTATATCATTTCATCGAAGACATCTTCAAATTTCTTCGGATTCTGTAAAGTAAAAGCAATGAGTATCAAGCAAACTTAACAAGAGAGATGGTTTACAGTGGAAAGTAAATTCTGGTAGAAGTTACATTAGCAATAAAACATTAGTTAAAAAAGGCTTTTACCTTTCGTGCTCTCACAATTAAAGCAGATAAAATTTTTCTTCCACTTTCAGCAAGAAATACTCTGTTTGCTGTTTCTGAAAGAATTATCTAGAAAAGGTTTCAGAAAATGTAGACATTTTCATTCACAGGTTATACTAAATGACCTTAAACACTTCAATCAAATTTAATATAATTATAATTGCTACTATAGTAGGCAAGTTCCTAATAAGCCTTCAGTGCAAAGGTTCCAAAGCTAATTACAAAACTGGGACTCCTCTGCAAATATGCCCCATTTTAGAATTACAGAAATGTAAAAACAAGAAAATATTTAATTAAACAATGTTATAAAAATGCTTGCACAGGCAGTTGCACATTGATAGTTTCAGTGCTGCATACACAACCAGACATATAAATCACTCTTCCTACTATTTACCTGAAAAGCTTGTCGAATACAATGAAGCTTAGCAAGGAAGTCACTGTCTCCTAGACATTCGAACATTTCAGTCCTATATAAAATAGAAAAGTTTTCAAAGACCATTAAAAAAAGGACAAGAAAATTCAACTAATTCTAATTCCTAGAAAAAAATACCTACTACAAGTAACTTCTAAAAACTAGTTCTATGTAGAATATTTAACTGAATTATTTCCAAGAAAAGCAAGAATTAAAGTAGACATAAATCAGTACCTTAACACTCGTGAATAAATTTTGCCTTCTTCTGCTAAGTGCATAGCTTCTTCATACAATGGGCAATGGCAAAGGGAATCTAGACCGCATGTATTACGAATCTCTCTGTGCTCTGTAAGCTGAAAAATATATATTTCTTTTTAAGTTCATTACAGAAATTGCTAACATAAGTTTTGTAAAGATAAAACATATTAAAGAAGTTTTCCTGATATTCTACTGAAAGATGCATCCTTTTCTGCATCTGCATAAAACAAAGGGCCAACACTCAACTAGTAAACGGAAGAGAAACACCACCCTATTAACAAGATTGCTTTCTAACTTTTAAAATCTGAAAGCTACAGTTTCAGGTTTCAAGTTTCAAAAGTTTACTTAATAAAATGGAGGCAGCTTTGTTTTGTTTTTAATTTGCCTAGTTAAATTTTTAATTTGCCTAGTTAAATATAATGGGTCTCAAAGTGGTTAAGAAAAATAATTGTCAGGACACAAAGTATAGAATGATTGCATCACGCAAATCTTTAGGAAGACGGAAATAGTAACATCCTCCCATCCTTTTTTTTGTTTTGCTGGTAAATGTCTGCATTATCAAAGCATATTGTCTGAAGCATGAACATTCAGCATTTTACTACAGGCTCCCAAAAAGGTTTTCATTATTGGCAGTTTTAATTCTGTGGTCATCTTATAAATTAACATGAGCTCATAGACTTTTTTAGAAGGGAAAAAAACAAAACACAAAAACAGATTAAGAAATCAAAGCGCATGAATAATACAGAGAACTCCTGTTTACAGGATATCATATTTAATCCACAAAACAATGGGTAGCTACAATTTCCACTAACAACATTACATCATATTACTACTGATCAAAAAAAAAAAAAAAAAAATCAGAGACTTACACGTCCTTCAGTTTAGTTAATGACCAGAAGATGAATTCTAACTTTTTTTCTAGAGCCTTTTTTTTTTAATATCCTGCGTGGGGGAAACAAACCTGTGCTTCTAGGCTATAAAAACAGAGCCTAGAAACATCTTTTAAAATAATTCTTCAAGTAATTGAACTATATAAAAAATAGTTACCCTATATCTTAGAAACACTTAAAAAAAATCAGATTAAAATATAGCTTTATGTTAATCTTCCATTAAAATTTCCAAATAAATGTATGCTGAAAAGTTTTTCCTATCACTGAGAACATACAGGCAAGTGCTGGCATGAGACTTCATAAAGACATTAAAAAACATACTTCCAGTGTGTCTTCTCCACAGACTTTAGTTGAGCCAATTACAGCAACAACAGTTGGACAAGTAGGGTTGCCTGCTAAAGGGAAGAGTATACTGATGTGCCAATACCTATTTTTGTCCATGTAAACATTGAAGCACATCAGTAAGTTACAGAGATTTCAGTACTGAGTTGGTGTTCTGACAAGTGTCACACATTGATAGATGGTATATATTTGCTGGAACTTACACTGATGTTTTGAATCACTCATATTAGTATCATTTTACTGTCAGCAAATACATACAACTCCTTTCCTAAAATTGTCAGGTTCCATTTTAAATTGATCTGTTTGGGTAACAAAAAAAAACAAAAAAAAACCAACAACAAAAAAAAAAATCTCTATTCCCATACAGATTTCTATGGAGTTCTCAAATTGAGACTCAAGTGACAAGATGACAGCTAGGAAATAAGTGAAGGAATAAAGGTTTTAAGGTCAACAAAACATTACACTTAAGTGAGTAACGTACACTTTCAGAATTCATCCAGCTTGAAAGCACTTACATTTTAAAAGTACATATTTGTTTATCAGTTGTTTTGCTTGGAAGAACAGAGTAGAATAAGCTGACTTCCTAAAAAATATTTACAGCTATTAAGCTTGAAGATTTTATTCCAGTTTAACTGTATTAATTATAGCACCAATTTTTTTTTTTTTTATTCACTAATTCAAAAAGCCCACCTGGAAATTTATGTTCTTATTAAACAAAGGAAGCCACCCAGCTTTTAATTGAAAATACATAGGAAGGAATAATTCAAGCAACTGGAAGAAACAGGAATATATCTTTCAGATGTATGAAATCAATACACACACTCACACATACATATATATGCATGTATATATATACCGTGTAATAGTTAGAACAGGTATAAACAAGACAAAGTGAAAAATCTTTACTCCAGAATTTGTTTATCTGCATTACGGTTAAGGAAATATTAACTGTGAAACAATACATATGTATCTTTCAAAATAAAGACCAGAACAGAACACAGATATGTCTGCTAATTTATTTCTTACCTGATCCATCAATTACCGAAGCCATAAAACATTCCATTTACTTTATTTCATTTGCAAAGCATGAGAAGAAATGGGTTGTGAACACATATGCACTTTGTAAACAGCTGCCCCTCTCTTGGAGATTATAATTTCTGTGGTAAAAGGGATCATATTAGTTTTCTCTAGTGAACTTCAGGCAAATCACCTTCTTCAGATATTTAGGCAAACTGACTGACTGTGACTGAATTAGGACTCGTGATTCCTACAGTTAGATGCAGGTAACCTCCATCTGCTGCCAGCAAGCCTGAGATGATAATATCTTTAGCACATGAAGATGCCTCATCATAGCCTTTGTGGTTATGGATTAGCATAGAATCTGATACCTGGGAGTTGGGTGAGGCCCCCTTGATAATATTAAGCTTTTTTTTGCCTTTTTTTTTTTTTTCCTTTTAACTTCTTCTCATGCTAGCAGATGAAATAAAATTGCCGTGTTACTGTTGTAATACATATTATTGAGCTCAAACAAAGAAAGCAGTTAAATCAACCGGCTACTAAGCAGGAGAGAAGGATACTCTTCCACTTAGAAGATGGTTTTGATTACAGATGAAAGTTAGTTCCAACCAGCATTTGGAAAGGGGGTGCAAATTCCTCTACCACTGACTTCTCTTAGCATGCAAAAAGACGAGAGGAGAAAGAAAACCAAACTGAAAACCAGAACCTAAAATGACCTCCAAGTTTAACTAGAAAAGGTGATTTCCAGTCAAGCTCTGGAACTGCATCGCAATGATCCTGGAGTCATCATGGATTTTCTTTTGATGCTTTCTAGTATTTAAAAATGTATTTATATAGAAATACTTTATATGTATATATAAACAGTATGTATACATATGTAACATACAGTATTATATTTTAAATGGTCTTGCAAACATTCAGTAATGGCCATTCTTTTTCAGATTAAATAAGTGAAAGCTTGTCTATATAAACATCCTGGTTCAAAATAAAATGAGTTGAAGATGCTCATTTACAGTAGAATTCATGTATTAGAAGAACGGACAAATTGTATATGATGTTTAAATACATGCAGAGCATACATTTTCTAGATAAGAACTTTGCAAGCTAACATCGAAAGGAAAATTAAGCCTTTGTTGTAAAAGTCCAAGGACTTGTTACTTTTGAAAAAAAAGGTGAAAAAGTTAGTTTTAAATGAGATGGCTCACTATAACCACCTCATATGAATTGGCATGCATTCATGACATGTATTCAAGTACCTGCTTTTTACCCCACTACGTCCCCTATGTACCACGTAACTTTCTTCAGCAGTGGTTTGATATTTGTCAGAAGTTAGCAGGAAGCCCCAGCACCCTACACCTTGTCATCACAGGTAAGTTGGACTCTCGAAAGCTCCTTGAGTCCTTCCTTGCCATGCTGTAGTAAACACTTCTTTGCACAGCCACTGACATTTTGAAACTCTTAACAGACGACTAACGATGAAAAAGTGCCTCATGCACAGCTACCAAAAGTGCTGGTAGTTGTGAGTAATGCAGGGGCTTGTGTTGATGGACCTGACGTGCCAGCCTCTAAATGTCTGCTATTTCCTCAGTGTCATGTGGGGTTACATGAAGTACAATATGAAAATGCAGACAAAGAGATAAAGATTACAACATGGATTATTTTTGTTCAGATGCTAATCAGTTTTCTCTAGATAGTTCAGCTTTAAGCCTGCGTCTACTAGTAAAGAGATGATGAAACCATTGTTGTAAAGCATCAAACCTCTGGAACTTGCAGTAGTTTTTAAGCCTGGGATTATCCAACTGCTTTGATCTAATGAACCGACTCAGTCCTCTTATTTGCCACCAACAAGTTGTTTCTTAATAGATAGAAAAAAATCTCAGCTGTGCATCGAGACTTCATTAACTACCAAAATAACCACCTACATGAATGTAACAAAAATAAACAATGGTAGACCTTTTAGGAATTCTTGCTTGCTCACCCTAATAAAAAGGTCAGTTTACTGGCACAGTCACCATTCCTTACATTCTGAGAAACTACGCTTATCCTGTATTAAAAAGGCTGCTGATGCTGATCTCTTTCTCTGGATATCTTCATCGTTTAAATATTTATTTATTTAAACAAAAAAAATCTAAGTGGCTGCAGGATAAGCATGAAAAATGTTTTGGGAGTTGAAAGATGTGATGTTGATTATTAACTAAAACATTTGTGATGGTTCTTTGATAAGCTGAAATGATAAAGTAGTATATCCTTCCTAATACCTGGAAGAAAACAGGAAAGAAGTTCATGTATTTTCAGGAACTCCTTTTATACTTACTTGTACATATTACAAGACACCTGATATATTTTCTTTAAGGAAAACACACATTCAGAACATGATTTTATCTGAATTGCTGTGCAACTTTAATAATTTTCAGTGTAACCAAGCACATGAATGCAGTGTGTTGTGTGCGTCAGTGGTAGTAGCACTACTCCTTGCCAGGAAGAGTAACCCCAGGCTAGGTGCTGTGTCCCGTGTATAGGCTTTTGCCTACGTAATACCTACATGGAGGTATTATGGTACAAAAATTAGTTCAGTGCGAATATATGGGATTTATAACAAATGTTACATGTGTCTCCTAAGAATTAAAAACTATATAGTATGAGCAATCGGCATATAGGAACATATATTAGATGAAACACCTCTTTGTCCTAGAAGTGAAAACATTTAATATACTATGCAAATACCATGCATAGCTAAGGTTTCTGTTAGAGGACAAGGATCAGCTCCAGATTTTTTTATTTTATTATTATTTTTAAAGCTTTTAGAGCACCATTTAATGACTTGTTGGCCGAAGTTTTCCCATTCATAGCCACACAGTAAGCAACCACAGTTGCCCTTGGAAAGAATCATAGGAATCTGGTTCCCAGTGACTACTCTTCATTGGCACATGGAAAAACTTTTCCCCACAATGGAATCTTTTTATCTGGGGCTACATCTATTAGGATGCAGAAGACAAATAATGGAAAAAAAAAAAAAAAAAAACACCAAAAACCCCAACACAAATGAAGCATTAAGTTTGAGGAATTTATTAGAAAAAACATAGGAACAGGAATTACTTCAAAGTGGAAGAGAACTTTTCTGTTGCCTACAACACCACTGACATTTATTGGGAGGTGGAAAGCTTCTGATGATGATATGAATAGAGAAGCTTTAATTACTGGATATTGTGATTCACTGGACACCATGAAATCTTTTGAGCTTGCCCAAAGTAGTAAGCAGTGGTTAGTGGCACTTCAGGTACAGGTTCTTCAAAGAAACAGCATTACTGTTAGCAGAATGAAAGACTTCAGGGATTAATTATTCCTCTCTTTCTCCACTTCTTAAGACTGTAAATATGAGGCACACCATACCTCATTAAAATTGTTAGAATAGAGAGTTCCTTACAATTTGCTACTCAGGGCATGCTAGTCTACAGGACTGCTGTACCACATTTGTTTTTGAGGTAAGACAATAATCCATGTGAAACTGGACAGATGACATGAACATGGAAGAAGTGACCAGAATGAGAAGAATATGGCTTGAGAAAATCAGATTAGTGATTATGGTTACACTTCTGAAAGCAACCAGAATGCAGGAGGGCATGTCTCTGATTTTTGTGATGAAAGAGGGAAAAAAAGCCCCAAACCTAACATCCCACTTACAAATGCTATAGGAATACACCTTACTACTACCTGGCAACATTAATTCCTCTGGTATTCCCTATTTCAGGAAAGGAATAAAATATCTATCTGGAAACCAGGAAGAAGGTAACCCTACCCTTCAGTGACAGGGCTGTTTTTGAGCACTTTCGGAACCTAAAACTCAGTTTCAGTCACTTTGAAGGTTTTGGTGCCATATACGAATAATTACAGGCATATGGAAACTGATGTTCTTTCCCTGTTGTCAAAGCCTGCTTCTTCATGCACTGTTTTGCTTTCAAAGACTTGAATTGAGAAGAAGACAACCATAGTACAGGAATTACTGATAAAAGAGCAGCTAAGGCTTTATTCACAAGTCTAAAAAAATCTCCTAAACTTTGGATTAACATTTTAATAAAGCAAGCAAAGTATATTTGCTAATAGAAATACAGATTCAGTTCTAGTCAAGATATGAAAATAAGACATGACAAATGCATGTGCACTGACAACAGAGGTGGCAATGAGGCTCACTGTCAGGGAGAGCAGAAAAGAACTTCTATTGGAAAGACAGAAGAGATGCCAAGAAAGAGATGGTGGAGACCTTTGTCTGGCACGCTCATTCTTGCCAAAGGTGGTAGCTATTTTGATCACACAGGAGGTAAGATATAAAGATTATGAAAAGGATACTAACCCTCAAACACAAGCTGATGGCAGGTGGTCTCAAATGGGTAAAAAAATACCATTATTTATCATGGTATACAGTATCATTCACTTAATTAGGGTAAACTGTTGTGTTTACCATCCCTTCTGCAGTGCTTCTGAGAGCTTACGTGTGTTTAGGAATAGAAGTCTGTCTGGGCTTGGGGATGGCAACTGACGTCTGTGTATTGTAGGTGTCCAGACTGGAACAATTTTGTATGAGTTGCCGTAAAATGCATGATCCTCAGCATCCTCTTGATTATCAGCCATAGGCAAGATGAGGTTTTAGCATACCCTACTGCTATCCTGTAGAGCTCATCAAAAGGATATGTGATTTAAACTCTGCCAACTGTCCCAATTTTGTACAGTTTTTTCTTGAAAGCAGTCTTCCTATGTTTGGTCCTAACATAACATAGCACAACATTCTTGTTGCCTCCTAAGCGTATCCCTATCAGTTTCCCTCAAAACATCTATCTAAGTCTTATTTTAGAATTCCCTGTATTTTTGCTGTTGTCTCTCCTGAGGGCAGTGAACTAAATTTGACTTGACTGTGTATCAGCACTGAAACATGAAAATAGCTTTCAGTCTCTGCTCTTTGGGACAGGATACAACATAGAAGGAAGATGAATAACTGTCAACACAGAGCTTGTAGCATGATGTGACCACAAAAAATGCTGCTACTTTGTAATTTCCCAGAAGGTGAAATTACTAATAATTCCAGTGTGGGGGGAGGGATATGGACTATCCCACAGCAGTATACACACATATATGAATTTCAAATTTAAAAACTTTGCTAAACATTTCTATCAGCAGAGTTTAGGACAGTTACTAAAATTGCAACTAAAATCAGGGAGCATAGCATGAAAGAACAACTGTCTATTTGCCCATTAGCTATGGCAAATCCAAAACTGGAAAAGCCTCAGACCTCTTAGTCTAAAACATTTCACTTTTTTTGCAAGTGGAAGAGAAAAAAAAAAAAAAAAAAAAAGTAGTAGATAAGAAAGCAGAAGCAATCAGACATTATCATGTTTAGAATAAAAAAAAATGTGGTATATCCATGCTAATCCAGTTATATCAAAGTGTTACTCTTCCATATGAATAGCTGAAATACACTGGGAAGTAGTTATTACTCCTTCTCATTACAATAGTTACTTGCAATACTAATTTATTTTTTACCCACAGAAGATGGACAAAATTTTACATCAAGGTAACATATTCATAAGAGAAGACCAATTCACAGCTTTATTTTACCTGTAGCACCAGTGATGCCCCAGTAGCTACTACTAGAGAGCTAACTGGCCCTGCAGTTTAAGTCTAGCGGCTTATATTTAATCCAGATTTTTGATGGTCTGGTTTGAACATCAACACTCAAAGGTTTTTTTATGGCTTTGTTAATCTGCAGGATTCCTGTCAGCTGAGAATTTTAAGATTCTTCATTAAATCTGAGAAAGGAGATCAGAGAGCTTCTTCTATTGGCAAAGGCTAGAACAGCTGGAAAGAAAGTCTTCATAACTTTGTTCTGGAAGAATATGTTGACAGAAGTGGCTTTGAGGTATCAAAATGTGGAGAATATTTTCAGGTTACGGAAAGACAATTCTGTTGTCAATTTTGACTCAAACATTGCTTTAGCAAATACTGAGACAATTTAGCTTCAGGATAGGATAGTAATTCCACTGAGGCGATACATCATGGATTTTTTGTTTTGTTTTGGTTTGGTTTTTGTGTTTTTCTTGTTTGTTTCAGTGTTTGTTTTTTTGTTTGTTTGTTTGTTTAAGTCAAGCAACATAATAATGGATTGATCTCATCTTTACATATTTGCAAAAACACTAGGAAAGTTCATCAGGGAAAAAAAAAAAAAAAACAACCAAAACCAAAGTGTACCACCACAACTTAATGTGAATTACTAAATCAAGGTAATCACAATTTAATTATGCTATGGAAAAGAAACCATACAATAGACAGTCAAAATGATCATTGCAAATAACGTGTATGCAATTTTCTCTCTTTTTACATCTGTCTGAGTTTCTGAGTTTAGTAGCTTGGTCGTAGTGCATATATGACAGCAATATCTAACAAAGAATTTATCTACTGAGACCAATTGCCTTTCATGTAATTTGGAGAAGAGTGCTATTCAAGATCAGTTCAGCTCTTGAGAGACTGTAAAAGGAGATATTCCTCATTCAAATAAGTGTGGCACTGTATATAAAATTCTTTCAAATACTTCAAGGAAACTGTAGCAGATTTCAGCCAATAGACAATGCCCTGTTATCCAAAGATTATTTCTTTATGTATGTTGTGTGGTCTTATCCAAGAAGATCAGGGAACGTTAGATGAAGTATATTATATTGTGCATGGAATGTACTACAATAGGTAGCTGTCAATATCTAATAATTTCCTCTCCAAAAAAAACCAACTCCAAAAAAAAAAATAAAGCCTTCTTCATACATCTTCATATTATGGCAAGGGAATAGGAAAGAATAAAAAAAAAGAACAGAAAAATGCAATTAATAGTGAAAGGAACTACTATAGCCTCAATTGTTTGTGCTTCTTCACTTAATAAAATCGGATATATTTTTCAAAAGCAACTTCCTTCTAGAATGATTTGGGGAAACACTCTGCCAATGCCCCCAAAAAAAAATTACTTGAACTCCTAGGGAGCTGGTTACAAATAAGCAAGGAACATTTCCTTTATTCCCCACAAGAGAAATACACTTTCCTTACAATAATTAGCAAAAAATTAAGATTCTTCTGTTCACTGTTCAAATAGATCACTGAATCTTTAAAGAAGCAATCTTTAAGAGTCTTACCTCAGCTGTGGACACAAAGGAGTCTGTTGATGCAATGCTTAAGGTGTCTCGAAGGCAGAAATCATCCGCATTATCCTTTACAGTAATGTCTGTATTTTTATCTTTAAAATAAAAATACAACCAAAAAAATGATCATTAGACTACCAGAAAATTCCATTTAAGTCTTGAAAGTGTGTTTCATTTATACTTTAATGTAGTACTTCATTTCAAAGGCACAACATTGTACTACTATGAGAGTAAATTCTCCTATGACCCACTAACATATATAAAAGTGACTGTATTTGTCTTTAAAGCAGATTTACAAACATTATCTGCAATGAACAGAGAAAAGAAAAAATATTTCCCCAGGGGTTTTGCATTTTCTTTGATAGACTTTTGAAGATCTATCTAAAGATATTACTTTGCTATATTGATCTAAACCCTCTGTTAAGTATTTCACTTGGCTCTGTTATATAACAAATGCTCAATGTTTTAGTAACCAAGAAATACTGTTCTAAATAAAAGTCCACTAATAACAAACAGGTTTCAGCTTCACTTGAACTCATTTCATTTTCTACTTCCCATGACTTTTTTCATTTGCTGGTTCTTCATGAGAGCAACTGAAGTTTTTAATCTTCACTGTATCATCTTTCCCCAAAAAGTTTTTCCATTGAAATAATAAATCCAGAAGTATTTCCTATAGCACTATAATTCTTAAAGCCTTCAAAATAACAGATTTTTTTTTCTTAATCTGCAATACAGTTTCTCTCAGTTTTCCTTTATTTTATTCTCAGATTTCAACTGTTGCACATATTACTAGCATACATGGTTTCATTTTCACCATACAGAAACACTTCCACAGAAGGATTAAATTTGTAAGTCAGTAAGTCAGACTTTGGCTTTACGTACCCCACATTACGGTCTCTGTAGAGCACAGGCATTTATTTTGGGTTACTTCACCTTCAGACATTACACATGTGTTGCTAAAAGTCTGTTTTATTTCCAACAGCCAGCAGCAACCAGCTACCCAATGTCATCCAGACCTGTTGCTACAGCAATACTTCATAAACACTATTACATAGCAAAGTGGCCAAATGCCAATATACTGGAATGGTTTACTCATCAATTGAAGTGCTACAAATCCACATAACTTTACTATTATTTCGGTGGTTGTTATGGTATTATTGGTTATGGACTTGGAATGACAGTTCAAAAACTGCACATAATAAATATCTGTCTTTGAGACTATTCACTAAGGGAAAAAAACTATTAAAAGTTTGGACAAAGACCTTACTAGAATGAGTTAGGCAGATTCCTACTTGTAATCACAACTTCACCAATACTAATACGAGTGTCTCTGATTTTTCAGATCATTCCTAATAATTTGTTCCTTCTTTTGGCCTCTTAAAACCAAGAGGAAAAGTACAGCATCATCCAAGTTGGTTGAGAAACAATCACATACTGGAATCTGAAGAGCTTGAACAGAAAACCAAACTGTGGTTTGTAAAGCATTTGCTTGGTCTTGTAAGAGCAGATGGGTAACGTGATGTTTCTTTCTTATTTCTAGCTCATAATTTGCATTAATCCCCTTCTAATATTACATTAAATGCTTTTCTAATATCACTTTTTTCACAGAAGCAATTGCTGAAACCACAGTAACGTAGGGTAATACAGGGATGTATAGCCTGGCTACAGATTTTTCCACTGAACCTCTCCTTTTGGCTAAGATGTTTTCCATAATAAAATTGCAATTAAAACAAAAGTTTCTGCATCTCAGTTAGAAAAGCCCTCTAGCAACTGGTTCAAGTGCAATCCACAGAAATTATTTTTCTGATCCTCCCTGCCTGTAGGCAACATGCAAGACTTATTTCATGATAAGTAAACAGCTATATTCACCAGTAGCAATGCAGATTACAAACTCCTAGGAGAGTAAGGCGTGGGCCATACTTATAAAGAAATTACTGATGGCTTTAATGAAGCTGTTAAGGTGAGGACCCAACACTTATTCACACGAAGTGCAGCTGTCACGTAGTCTTATATATCAACTTCTTTACAATTCAAGAACATCTCCACCACCCTCACAAGGAAGTCCCAACTATACCACACACTGAAGGCTCAAAGCCTTTGGATAGTGTCTGATAATTACTGTGCTGTTGCTCTTAGATGGGAGTTTATAGCTCAGTGGCAACCACATATCCCCAAACTGACACTGAAGTATTTAACACTGGGCTATGTGATCGATTACATATAAATGGCGATAATGCTATTTAACTAAAATTTATTCTGCATATATGTAAAAAAATAATTAGTGTAAATGAAGGAACCACAGAGTTTCCAGCCCAAAATACTACAGAATCAGGGGTTCTTCTGTAGAGTTTGCATTCAGCCTGCTACAGATTACATGAAGCTCTAGAGATAACAAGATTTTGAATCTATATTTGCTGAAGTCATAATTACAAGTTTTCTAATATGGGCCTAAAACTTTCACCTAACGTGTTAGTTGAATATGGAATATCTGTGTTTTCACTCAAAGAAAATTCTCACTATTACAAAAAAAGGCACAAAATTTGTTATGACAAAAAAAACACGATTAAAAAATGGTTGGTAGTGTTGAGTGAAATAATACCTTTAGCAAGTGATATGTGTGTACAAAGCACAGCCTCCCCTAAGGAAAAACAGCCTTGTCAGCTATTTCCCTTTCTGGCCTCCACCACCCTAAGACCCTAAAATACCCTTAGCCAAGCAGGTGCTTACCAATATTGACACTGTGCAGAGAGCACACTATTATGAAAACATTAGGGTGGAAATTAAGTTACAGCTGGAGTACATACCACGCAAGTACCAGGAGAACATTCTTAGACACAAGAACATGAAAAAAAAGAGACAGCAGCACGATGAGACTCCTGGAATGAACAGCTGCAAGAGGAACTCACCCATCAGCGGCTGCAACTGCTCATACAGTCATCCCTGGTTCTTAGGCAGTCTAATACCTTCAGGAAAGGAATAGTAGCGAGTATGTGAGCTTCAAATATACTTTACTTATGTGAGAAGCCAGGGAGTTATTTTGGGTTCATTTATATTCGTAACGAGGATGAAGTAGAGCTTCATACTGACAACAGTAATTGCCATCAAGACACTTGGTTGTAGTGCCTTAAAATGCATACATGGTTCTAAAACTAGATTAAGGGTATTAAAAAAAAATGGAGGAATATGGAGTATTGCTAAAGCTTGTGAAATTAATCCTAGCTTTGTAAGATTTTGCAAACAACTATCTATTTGAAACTAAGCAAGCAAAAACCCCCCAAACCAGAATAAAGCTACTTTCACATGTATTCACAGAGTACTAAACTAGAATATTTATTTGTCTTTGCTCTGGTAGGTTCGCGTGCTTAGACAAGCCACAAAACTAACCCTCTAAACTCTCAAAGCAAAATCTGACCTTGGAGATGGAACTGCACACAAATTAACTTCTTTGCATTCATTTGGGAAGTATTCACCTTCACATAATGTTTTAAAATTCTGAGAACTGTTTATATGTTATCTTCCCTCCAACCCTGAATGAAACATCGCATGAGTTCACAAGTGAGTTTGGTACTTACATGCAGTGGTTAAAAAAGGAAAGCGCTTACCCACTAGCAAAGAACTCACTGGAAGTTAAGGAATTTAATTCTGAGTGCCACCATTAAAGCCATGGTTTCCTATTCTCCCCAGCCCTCCCACTTCAGTGGAGTATCAGTGTAGTAATAACATCAAAAGCAGGAAAACAGGTGAGAGAGACTTCATAGACTCTGAAAGGGAGAAAACCTTGTAAAGGAATCCACTTATGAAAAGTCGGGTACCAGTATTCTGACAGGCTACCACAGACAGGGAGTGTTGTGTGCTAGTCAGGCCCCTTAGATGTGTGGCTTCATGCCTAGGCAAAGAAATTACAACAGTCAAGTTCAGAGAGCACAGAAGCATGAATTACTACATAATTCAGTTTCAAGAGAATGTGTCACAGTCTTCTAGCTAGTCACAAGCCGCACAGTGGTTTGTCACCACTTGCTGAAGCATCCGAAACCAGCTTTATTTACGTTTAGAAACAGTCGTAACTCAGAGAGTGTTGACTGGTTATTCATTAAAAAATCGTCAGTCCTACCAAGTAGCTACTAATGTATTACATAAAGTCTTACAGGATGCACCTAGAAAGCAGTGTTACTTTATGTCATATTTATAAAAAGAAAACAGTTCCAACCTTCAGATAGCACCTTCTAATGACTGGGTCATACAGTCACAGGTTTAAAAAAAGCAAATCAATAGTGGAGTGGGGTGTCCACACAGACCATTCTGGATTTAACAGCTATTGCTAAATTATGCATTTACATTCTCCAGTAACACAAATATCTGGGTTCAAGAAAGTGCCTATAGCTGGAGGAATTTCACCTCACTGAATATAAACAAAGCTGTTATTAACTTCAGCATAAAAATATATTTCAGGTCAGGGTCTTTTAAAAATATCTAACCAAATTTTGTACTCTACCAGTACATCAGCATATATCACAAGTTAAACATGTCTCATGGTTCTTTTTGGGACCTCTCTGATGCAAACTGAAGTGAGAGATTCCTTTAAAAAAAAAATAAAAAAGAAAACCACAACTCCCAACCCCACCAAACCCACAGAAAGATACTCCAGTGCTGCACAATCATTTGGCCTGGCTGTCAGTACGTGCTCACATCTCCAGTATGCCCCCGTTGTGAACACACAGCTTCTGCTCACCACTACTCAGCTAGGAACTCATCAGCTCAAGCAGTGATCTGATAGAAAGGAACGACTAGGGAACACAGAGCACAGGACAGCACCAACTACTTAATATTTGCAATTTCACCTTCCTCCTAGCACTCACAGACCTTCTTCAAGGTAAGTTTCAGCTGAGCTGACTGCTGAGCCTTCAAATTACGCCCTTAACAAATAACATAGTAGTTTTCATGCAGAGAATAATCTTCTGGCTTGAGAAGGCCAAATCTTACTTCCTCGGTAAAAGTTGACTCAACAGAGCTTTCATAATAGTTTCCAAGCATAGCTACAACCTTCGAGGTCCACATAAAAGCCTTCCACTACTATACTCTTACAAAGAGTATACAA